ATTTAATTTATTATGATTTTTTCAACATAAAAGTCAAAAATAAATTAATTAGTTTCTAAGTTATCCAATTAATCATCTTCGTCATGACCCTGGACTTCCTTAGTAAGATTAAGGTTTTAAAAACATTTATGATACTTTTGTGGAATTATCAATGTCACACAAAGTAATCAAGTCCTTGTATTTTGCTTCAATAATCGCACTTAGCTGTTCTGTCAACTTCTCTAGTTCTTTCTTTTATGTATTTCAAATTGTAGTCACAGATCAGCTCCCTTGAATTTTAACTTCTCTTGTTTCCATTACAAATAATTTTCTCAGAGTTCGTATATTAAAAACTAAAATTAAATCTTGATCCACTTCTACGACTGTATAGGGACATCTGTTTAGCCCAACGAACCCAACGATACCATTCATCAGGTACATTAATGATTTTGTTATTTACTGATATTTCTATAAGCGCAAGAACGCTATCTGTTTCGTTTTGAGTAGGTATGTCCCTTTTCAAAGAAACGATGGCACAAGACTATCTTAAATTTGTTGCTTACAAACAAGTACATAAATACAATACGATTGCGATTCTAGCCTGTGTAGTTGTTTGACCAGAATTTAAAATCCCTAACACCGGCTTCAACCTTTTTTTTACAAAAGAAAACAACTTGCCACTTCAGTAGCGCCGCGTTTAGCAATTGTTTCGGCCCATGTAACAAACAGCTTCTTTTATTTCAGCAGCAAAAATAGTAAAACTATATGCGTATATAATTTTACTAATTTTGGTTAGAACTCTGATGTTAGCATGTACCCCTATGTTATTAATTTTCTGAAAATCAAACATTGCTTTACAAATTTTTGATGGATTCGATTGAGCTTCTATTTTATCAACGTTTTCCATCGCTCTGGCTAGTTTTTTGTTGTCGAAATGTAACTTATATTTTAATTTCTCACTATCCAATGGTGAGGTAGTAGTGTTTTTCATTGAGTGACATAAGTTACACTGATCCTTTTTCGGTACGTGAAAACGAATGTTTAACTGTTGATTGACGATATAGCTTTTTCTTTGGTGATATATATGTCACCGTAAAATTGTAAACACCGTTAGATTGTAATCTATCTCGCGAGATTGTAAACTTTCGAAAGATTGTGAACCTCAACGAACTGCTTACAATTTAACGTATTATTATTCGGTAGATTGTAATCTATCGAAGTGGAACCGTCAAATTGTTAAACGGATCGCACCTCGCGCGCTGATTGGTTGAACGGAATATGCCCCGCGCCACCATATTTGTTTGTTAATTCGTTTGTTGTCGAATGTAACTTGATTGTTTTGATGAATGTAAATTTATGTCGTGTTGAAAGTAACTCACAGCTTTAGAATTAGTTATATGAAATTGTTGGGAAGTAAAATTAATCTGTGATTGACCAAAGAAGTTTGAATGATAACTAAGTTAGTATAGGAAATGAAATGAAAATTTCATTAATTTTTCAATTTTAATTTGTTTTTGAGGAGGAAAGGAGTTGGATTTAGAAATCGGTAACCCGAATCTGATGATACTGATTATGCAAGCCGTAGCGGCTAAGGCTGGTCGCCGAAGGTGACCAAAAAGCCGAAGCTGCGGAGGCTTGAATAAATTGCCTGTGCTTTAGTACGCAAGGATGGAGGGGCAGCATTTCCCGTAGCGTCGGAGCTGTCCAATAAATGTATTATTATTCGGTTAGGTAAGGTTAGTATATTACTATTTTTTTAAATAACATAAATGATGTCAAAATTTTAAAATTATCTTGAAAAAGTAATGAAATTTTCTTTCCAACACTAACTTAGTTATCATTCAAACTTCTTTGGTCAATCACAGATTAATTTTACTTCCCAACAATTTCATATAACTAATTCTAAAGCTTTGAGTTACTTTCAACCTTACATCAATTTACATTCTTCAAACAATCATTTTACATTCGACAACAAACGAATTAACAAACAAATATGGTGGCGCGGGGCATATTCCGTTCAACCAATCAGCGCGCGAGGTGCGATCCGTTCACAATTTGACTCACTTGGTTTCACTTCGATAGATTACAATCTACCGAATAATAATACGTTAAATTGTAAGCAGTACGCTGAGGTTCACAATCTTTCGACAGTTTATAATCTCGCGACATAGATTACAATCTAACGGTGTTTACAATTTTACGTTAACATATACAATTCGAACACCGGCATCAGATAAAAGTGGCATAAAAACTTAAAAACATTTAATCTTCTACAATTCTGGGTCCATTGCTTTTTTTCTATTAGCTTTATATGACTCGCAATAAAAGACCACTGATGAGAATGATCCCCTAGATCCCAACATAAATTATTTGTAGTTTTGACGTACTAGTATACTGATACGAATAACGCAGTATTTTTAGAGTTAGCAATATCCACTAATAACTTTGATCTATTGTTGAAATCGTGTTTTTGAAGTGAAACTTCTTTATCGAGGTTGGAAAAAAATTTAGTGTAAAATTTTTTCGTTACGCGTCATATTTTTCGGTTAAGCGCCATGTTGCTTTTTGAAGTTAAACTTCTTTATCGGCGTTGGAATGAAACTTCTTTATCGACGTATGGGAGAAATTTTGTAGCAAATCGTCACGTTTTTCAATGATAGTAATAATTCTATTACAATTAATGAAATTCTATAATAATCTTCGTAGTAATAAGGTAAAATGAAATATTTGTATTCATGTCTATGATAATAAAAGCCTTTTGTTAAACTTTATCTAATTTAACGAATTTCTGTAAAGTTGCATATAGTAGATCATTTTTCGAAAAATAAGATCATAAAGAAGTTTCACTTCTTACGTGTGTACACCTAGTACACGAACAATTTATTTATATTGTGTGAAACATATTAAGAAATAGCAATGGTAACAAATATTCAACTTAATCTAATTAAAATGTTTGCCCTGTCAAATCTACTGTCTAAATTTACTTCGAAGCAGAAAAGCGTACTTAAAATCACTCAAGGAATCGAAAACATTGTTTATCGTTTCCCTTAGTTCTATTGGTCCTACAATATATCATTAAATACATTTCGTACCGTTTTATATCTTAATAAGATTTACGATATGCCATATTACAATAATATTAATAATTTTTATGCTTACGAGGTCTCTAGATATAATATTTCTTTCAGACATAATTTATGTTTTAGTATATTAATTAAAGTTCACCCTTTGTCTTTTGGAATTTCATATTTTCCAAAGATACTTTCAAACATGTTTCTGCCCTTACAGAGCAGAAGAGATTTAATTGGACAAAAGTCGCTATTTTTAATTAGTTGTATTGATAATAATGAAGATAATTTTTTAAATATAAACTGCAGATGAGAGACTTAAAGAATATTCGGCGCGTATAACAAATTTTATAAAATTCATATTATTAGCTACCTTCTCAAAGAATACGCTCAATTATAGTAGGTTATAAATACAAGCTAAATTTAATAATTAAATAGAATTAAAAAAACAACGAATAAATACTCCAGAATCAGAACTCACCGTGCTTGTTATCATCATCATCTTCCTCCCGTTTATAATGCTGTGCGGGAAGGGGTGACACTAGCCAATTTCTCGGTCTCTTTGCCGGCGGCGCTTTCTCTTCAAGAGCAGTGATATCCACCTCCTCGTCCCCATCATCGTAGTCCACGTCCCGAGGAGCAGGTGCTTCTCCACCTTCCAAGGACTTGCTGACGAAGTCCGCCAGCCGCTCCATCACCATTACTGTAATACCTAGTGCCTCTGGCACACGTAATCGCACACGGTCATACCTCGACACGGTTTAAGGAACACACTGCAGCAAAGGCGGGCTGAACGCCTACACCACCATATTTTCATCCCTTCACTAAAATATCGACCCTATTATGTGGTAGTTAGCATAGTATGTTGTTTGTTTTCGTAATGAGGGCGGCGGGAAGACTCCGCCTTTAGTCCGCGCAGGCGCTCAAAGACGCAGCCATCGCGGTAACGGCATAAATGTAACCGCCGGTAGATAATACACGCCTACATTATCATTATAATGATAATGAATATTTGAAATTGTTGCGATTAAAGCATATTTAACTATAAGCGTGATTTCTAAGAGAAAAGTGCAATGTGTTTTAAAAATATATTCATGAAACATTTTCTTAGTCAGGTAAGGGTATTAATGGTCTAAGATCCCGATATACAACGACCTTCACCGAGATGCTTATTTAATGAAACGTATTTTATATTTAATTTAATATGTCAATAAATATAATCCATATGGATTGCCTAGCAAATTTCAGTCCAGAGTATTTTAATTAATATTTAAAAAAAAATATTTTTTTAAACATTTCACCGGTATGATTATTAGATAAATTCTATACCAATGGAAAGTATGAAGCCCATATAATATGCAAACGTTAGGTTGTTTTTAATCAATTAATTATTTATGTGTATATTTTTTATGTGACACTAAAGTATATATACATCTTTAGTAAAAAAGAAAGTTATAGTGATACATATATAATACTACCCTGATTAAAAATATTGATTGAAAAAAATTAAAAAAAATTACTACATGCAAATTATAAAATATTCTTTTTTTAAATATTAATTAAACATACTCTGGACTGAAATTTGCTAGGCAACCCATATGGATTATATTTATTGACATATTAAATTAAATATAAAATACGTTTCATTAAATAAGCATCTCGGTGAAGGTCGTTGTATATCGGGATCTTATACTATAAAGGAAATTGAAAAAATCAATTAAAATATTTATTTAAAATTAAAGTTCACAATATTAATTAAATACCTATACAAATATTTTAATGTAAGATTTACTAAAATAATTGTAATTCACACCATCTCCATATTAAATTCCATTACATACCATTTTGTAAATAGCATATCAACTATAATGACATCTAAAATAGACAAATACATTCGATTATAAATAAGCATATAAATAAGTATTTTAAGGGTTAAAAAGGCTCTGTATAAAATTAAATAATAGCAGCATTGATGCCGAAACCGAGTCGAAATTTATTGTTAGGGTGGTTAAGAAGTGCAGAAATTGCACAGGAAATTTGCGAGTTCTTGCCGCCGAGTGCGCGTTGCAAAGTTGCACCAACCAAGCCGTCGGAGTCGACCGAACCTCGCACGCTCCATTCGTCTAAACGCCACTCATACGCCAGGGTCGCCACTGCCCGCTTCACAGAAAATCCAACCTATAGAAATGATGAAGTTGTAGTTGCGTTTTGAGTAGGAAAGCTTGTTTTACAGTACTGTCGTAGGTGTTAGTATCCCGCTCTAGAGCCTTTAAGGTATGATCGGGTGCGGAGATGCACTTTCACCGCAGACATAAAGAAAAGTGTAGCCCCCTTTCCTAAACCAAGAAGTAGAACCTATAACCTATATGTAATCTTTATTTTTGTTTCATAGGTGATGTATGCAAAAAGGTAGGCTTGTAGATTCATCGCGTCACTTATTTAATTTTAACAAAGTATTTGCCTACTTATGTACTTATCCTAACTGCATATCCTATTTAAAGAAAATGTAATTCGTCCGGGCCCAAAGTCGTTTAATTTCTAATCACAATTCTAGTCAGTTTTATTGGTTTTATATATTATTTCTTACCGTACCGGGACTGTGAAGATTGTCAAGCACGTGCCCAGAAGCGGGTTAATTATATATATTTAAATAAAATAATTTAAAAAGAAATTAAATATTTATTTGATAATTATAATGTGATAATGACACTGTTTCAATCCTGTAAAATTTGTTGTCAAATATTACTAATTAAATGAAAAGCTTGCTTAAATAACTGTCAAAATTATTTGAAATATAGTTTTTCTAGATTTAATTTCGAAACTAAATATTACTTTTACCGACCTCAAGTAGAGCAGCCACGGTCAAAAATGGTTTAATGGTCCTCGCATAACATAAATCAAGACCTCGATTCCCTAATGTGGCACTTATAGTGTGGTCGTCAACAACCCAGCGACCAGCACCTGAAGCAGAAGTTATCTCCGCTGTGTGACCTCTCGCGACAATTTCAGCGCCTAATGACAACTGCTCCGTTATAGCCTGAAAAAAAAATCTGGTTGATTTATCGAATAATTAACATATCCGGCATATGAATTCCGCTAGTACAGGTGATTAAACGAAAATAGAGATAGGTAAGTGTTTATATAATATAATACTGATGAAGGTAACTATGTAACTGAGTCTAACTGTCTAAAGAATCTAAGTATAATTCAACTTAGATCTATAATTTATTACAATGCATGCTTTATAGTACCTAGGTATCGAAATGAACATTAAATATTATTATTTTTAGGGACATAAGTATCATAATATGTATCTACATATTTTAGTCTAGTTTGAATCCGGATAAACCAAACTTAACAACGTAGGAGTAGGAAAAAATTAAGACCTGTAAATAATGAAGAGCAATAAACTCTCGGTTAACAGCTATAATCGAAGCCGTCGAGCTATTAAAAAATGTATCAAATATGCTCTCGAAACTATAGAATTCTCCATCAGCGATCTGTGCCACCACTGTAGCACGGGTCCCCTCCGTTGGACCTACTCTAACTTCGGTACTCATCTGACCGCCTGGTGCAGCCTCCATTACAAAATAAGGCAATTTCACTGTCTTGTCTTTATCAATATATGAAAGTAATACTTTATATCCACCTGGCGACACGGAACTAAAAGACAGAGAGTGCCCCAATACCCAATTGTTAGTGGAACTTTGTTTCACTGAAACGTAAGCTCCTTCGAAGCATTGAGGAAGGCAAAATCGTGCTGCATTGTGGATGTGTCGTAAAAGACCAGGATAATTTGCACCCGCTGGAAGAGCTCCGGGTTCCTTGTGGCTATGACATATTCTGCCAGTTCTAGAGCCTGTCACGCCTGCGCCAGTTTTCCCGCGGTCACCTGAGGTTGTTTTCGATCCATCTCGCACATTACATTCACATTTCCTCGGAGATGACGCATCACCCCCCGCGTATTTATCTGGGGTCGTAGGGTCTCTCCGGGGAGAGCTTGCTCGCGAGCCAGTGTTCGATTTAGCGTAAATAGTTTCTAGGGAGAGTAATCTTAATATATCCAATAATGACGGTGTAAATCCCTGGGTATTCGGTGAGTCTTTATTCATTTTAATAATTCAGAAAAATACTATCTACATACATTTATGACGTCTATGCATTATGTTTAGTTTAGTCGCTTGATATGTCATCGTAAAAAAGTCGCAATCAAGTAGGTTTTAATAATAAATAACTTTGTGCTGGTATCCTGAATACGCAATACGTGTTGTGAGTAGAATGAATATTTCTCAAACGCTTCCTTGATGATTTGTGACTTGTGGTCAAGGTTGATATTCAAGATTTTTTATTAATTATTTTAGATGCTTTACGACGTACACGCACATGGGCAATCCCCTTGTGACATGTTGCATGTTAAGAAGTATGTTGTTAAAAAGAATTATGAAAAAAATCTATGTATCTAGAATTATATATATATATATATGTAGTATGTTTGATTACACAGACTAGAAATACTAATAATACATTTTCAGATAAACTGCGCCTAACGTAGGGTGCGACATTTCAACATTACAACAGTACATTTTTTTCATGTACGCGGTTGAAATATAGTTGCTACGAGATTTTTTTCTCATTTTACCATAGTCAGACAGTATATCTCAATTTTCTTTTTATAGAGTTAATATTTAAGTGTAGGTGCTTATCATTTCGACAGTTGTGTAAAAACTTAAAACTTAGTAAATAATGCAGAAAAATACTTACACATTTATCTTATGGGTGCTAAAAATTTAAATTAGAATGATTACATGATGCTATAATATGTAAACATTCAGTCATATTGGCACAGTTTTTAAAAATGATTCAGAATAATTGAGTTAAACTCACTGTGAAAAAAATGTTGAAGTGTTGTTTAAAATTTCGCGGTGGTGATTCAAACCAAATTAATCACAACGTTAGTTTTAGAGAACATCAGACTCGATTTCCGAATGTTTTTACTTCTTAGTACTCTTGCCTTAATAAGCCGATATTGTTAATTGTTGTCAATTGTCATTCATGAATTGAATTGACAATTTACTTTTAAACATTTTAATTTCCGTGTATAGCTGTTAACTGTTTAGACTTGATATTAAATCTCTTTGTTTACAACATATAATATTAATTGCATATAACCTTTCTTTTTAAAAAGTTATTTGAAAGCATTTGTTAGAAAATGACGAACAAGTTAAGTGCTAAGTTCTTTGAAATATTTCGGAATTTGAAGTCAGATGCTGTACCTCGTCCCCCAAGGCCTAATTCATATCAGGAGAATCCCGAAGATGTACAAAATGAAAATGTAGATAACACAAATAACATCGAAACGGAAGATATTTTTAATGAGAATGATTTGAAAAAAGAAAAGAAAAAGCCAAAATATAAAAAGTCTTTCTCTACTCCCGAACCAGATCCTACGCCTGCAGAAGATGAGCATGATAGACGAAGCAGTAATGCAAGCAGTGTGGTTAATACCCAGGGTAAGCTAATAAGTTTGTTGTGTTATAAATTGACAAGATTTTGCTTTACCTTCATATTATTCTTAATATTCAAAGTCACAGTGACTCATATTTAAGCTTTATTTTGGTTTTTTAAATATATCTTTGTCTTGTTACTTATTGCATATGCACATTGATACATAGTTATTGTTTTCTACAAAAAATGAGCTTGAATTATTAAGTAACAAATATTTAATTACATATAAATATATATATACATACACATGTAGATGTATATACAACTATCATAAGCCTGTATTCTATATAATCATATGTTTATAGCCACGGGCAATGTGATCAACATTGTTAATGCAAGTAATATTCGTTGGGGAAATGAGTTTGTTTATTATTTGGGGTCTGTAAATGGTCAGCAAGCTTCACCTAAAGCAAAAACATACGAAGAAAAGGTTGAAAAAACTAATCTCATTAAACAACTGATGCAAGCTGATATTCAGGTAAGTTCTTATTAAGTTGTAGTTGTACCTTAATATAATCATTGAAAAGGTGTCAAAATATTGTAAAACATTATTAACAATAAATATTTTAGGATAAAATATACAAAACATATAGTTCAATCTATTCATAGATACTGGCATATGCCAATAATTCTTAAGATTTAGATTGAAATTTAGATAAATAATGGTACCAATCAGAGACTGATCAAGAGTTCTGACCGCTCTAGGCTATTTATCAGGATGCGCCCCCGCCAGGTGACAGGTGTGTACCTACAGTCAGTCTAAAAAGTAGTATATTAGTTTTGACTTTACTATGTATAAGAGTTTACAGATCGATCTGCAAGTGAAACGAACGCTGTCTTTTAATTTGCAGCCGACTTGTAACCATTTTTAGCTGACCGTACACAAAGGCAAAGCACCTCCCTCATTATACGACCAAAATGATGACAGGCTACCAAGTAGAAAACCAAATCCATGTCGTATTTGGCTGCATTACTTCTATTGGCTTAGTTTCTATGGACTACTTAGTTGTTGCGGCTATTAACCATAGACGTGGTCACCTAGTGTGTGATGTTGCTCCGACTTTAAGTTATTCTTAAAATATTTACACTTCTGTTTTGTTATCTTTAAAAAAGACAAGAGCAATCAAACAAGTGAAACATTTTGTCAACTGTTAAAAAAATTAAGTACCTACTTATTATTAGCTTATACAAAAGGCCGTTTTCTTGCTTTAACGTTAGCAAATTTTTCCACAATTTTTCCAAATTTAATAGTCTTTAAAAATCACATTCTGTGTACATTAGCGAGAGCGCTGCAAGTTTTTGCTGGCGGAGTGTGGAGCGCAAGTATTCTTTACTCTTTTAAGTGCTGTAAAAGACCTTTCGCCGCTGCAGTTGGTAACACTCATTGTCCAAAAAATATTATCTCCACATTCGGGAACATGCATCAAATATTAAAACTTATTATTAACTGCAACAAACGCTTTGGGGTTCTGGCAGAAATATAATGCTCGGCCTCGTTGTCAGGTTTTAAAAACTGTGCCAAATGGACGCATTCTTCTGCAAAGGTTTCTCCTAAATCAGTGGAATGTCGTTGTTTTTACTCCTCCTTGCTTTGCTTCTTATAAATCACTATCGTCTAGTTCATACAGTTACCATAAGAAACCAAACGTTGTGTTTAAGGCAATCCATAGCTGCATAATATTTTTAAACGATAAAAGATCGCCTCCCTTCTAACTCAAAAATTTTGGGTTCATTCTTCTTCTTACATCTTTTTTGTATGTGGTCACTTCGCATATCTTGATTGCTCTGATTCAAAAATTTTAACTCTTTTTCGTCACGCAACGTATTAAGATAAGCAATGTCTCATAAAGAGTAACAAAGTCAGATAAATCAACAGAACTTGCTTGTAGCTGTGTACTAACGATTAGAAACTTTACGAGCACAGGGTTCCAAAGGCACAACAACAGATTTTTAAGTACCATCTATTCTTCATCTTATTTAGATACTAAAATTTGCCATCTGCTTGTAGACCCAGTTCACAGTTCATTTAGTGTTGTCTAGTTGGTCTAGTTGAAATATGCAGGGAATGATACTAGCGAAGATATGACTTCAGGGCGCCCGCGCCCCCCTAGATCGTCGCGCCCTAGGCTGCAGCCTAATTAGCCTAAGGGTTAATCAGGCCCTGGTACCAATTTCATCATAGTCTTTTAGGTGTTATTTACACATAATATTTTATATTACATATATATATATATGTATATTGTATATATATGCAACATCTATTTTCAGCCTGAGCATGAATATATTGATTATATATCCAAGAACTTGGGTAAAAATTGGTACAGTATATTTAAAAATCTGGGCTACTCAAAAGGACAAATTGAAACAGCTGAAATTGATAATGCACAAAGCGGTATTGCTGAGGTAAGATTTGACACAAAATTGTGTATAAATCAATATTTTAATAAGATTTAACTTTTTTAATCAAATCTTTGCTACATCCATCCTACATCTATATTCTATCAATAGTGAAGACAGTTATCTTTTTCTTAAGTTTTATAGATATTTTGCTTGATTTATTTTGTGATTTATTAGTAAAGAGAATTTTCATAGACAAAGGCCATTCTTAGAGATATATATTTTTTTATTAGTAACAATACAACTGAAACAGTTATTTACTGATGAAATATAGTAATAAAGAAATTAATTTACTTGAACATAAAATTACATTTCAGGCTCGTTACAAATTACTCCTAGACTGGGTAAGAAATGATGATCATGGAACTCTTGGAAAACTAGCTACTATTTTGTGGGAAGAAGATGAAAAGCATGTTGTTAAAGAGTTAGCTGTCATTTATAAAAGAAACCAGGAATGATAAATTTTTAATAATGATCTTTATATGATTAGTATATGTTCTATATAATACTTTTTGTGCCAATGCTTTTATACTTTAAACTTGTATATTGAAACTATGGTGCTACCATACTATTACATTCCAATGTTATGGAAATTGAACTATTCGGTGATAAAATACATGTTCCAGGTTGTATGACAAATGGAATTTTGTAATGTAAATTATTTAATAAAAGTTGAAGGGTCAAACAGGCTTACAAAACTTAATCTCTCAACATTAAAAATAACCATATCATTTGATGTTTAATTTATAACTACAATTTGTTGTCAACTAGGAATAATATTAATAATTAACAAATCACTATTACATAGAAGTTTTTTTTTTTTTAATAAGGTTTATATACATACAGACAGGACCCTTGATTTTCTTGATCATGAATATTGTAAATTTATTGGAGATATTACAATTTTTAAAGTGTTAAACACTATTTAAAAACAACATGATATAACAATGATGATAATCTAGGCTAATTTTATACATACATATCACAGTAGTAATACAGAAATGAAATTTTATTAATAATTGAAAAGGAATTTTGTGCAATAACTTTTATTGAAAAAATATTTGAATGTTATATAATTTTTTTTAAGATTCAAAATACTTAGGTTAAGATTAAGTTAAGAATCAACTTTTTTATTAGAGTGGTTATTTTAAGTTTTTATATTCAGAGTAAGAAATAATGAAGTAAATAAAACACATAACTTCTTATTAAACCAATTCGGTTTATGATATTTTATGTAACATTCATATATATTAAAGCACAAGTATATACAGGTGTTATCAGTATCTAGTTGATATTGCTGTCAAGTTTTCGCTGTTTTCATTTTCACAAAAATATACTTTGTTAAAAATTTATCTAGTCATGTAAGAGTTTTACTGTTTTATTTTTTTGTATAAAAAAAATCTTGAAATTTATATAATATTTTAATTTTTATATAAATATATCTTTAATCTTATTGTTTTTCTCTAAATCATCCTAAATAACCAAATAGTACTTTTTAAGTAATGTATATATGGTTTTACGTATTCCAAGACAAATATCGTAAAACCAGGTTTAAAGTTAATTAGCCTTTTAATAGGACTAACTTTTTCAATTCGAATTTTCAGAGAAATAGTAGCGTAGTCACGGGAGAAATAATAATTATTCACAACTTTTAAATAATTTATCCCTCAAAAAATACAATAAAATATGAGAGATAACCTTTTATAAAGAGCAACAGTACATGAACAGTCACTGTTTACGTTTTAAGGGTAACAGACGCAATGCCGTATCCAAATAAAAAAGGATTGAACATAGTTCAAGTCGATGTTAAAGACGTCAGGTTTCCCACATCCCTAGGAGGACACGGATCTGATGCATTGGTAAGTTCAGATAATGTAGATACAAACATTTCTTACTTACTGTATAATAAAATTATGCTTACCCGCAATTGTTTTTAATGAGATTACGTTGTTATCTCTGACAGTATTAACATAATTACGTAACAGTATAACAACATTTTCCTTACTTCTCGACAACGAACAAGTTATTTGTATAATCAATATCTTATTTGAGTCAAAGTATAACCTAAGATCGCGGGTTCATCTTTGACGACCAATGATTTTAGCTTTCTATTCGCGCAAATGACATGAGTAAATAATAAGTAATGAAGCAGACGCACAAATATTTGTCCTGTGTATTGAGGAGTTAGGGACGACAATCCACTTGATAGGATTTAACTTATAAAATACATTTAAGAGCACTAATTTATATTCTTTGACTTTTTATTTTTTTTAGTTATCAAATTTACGTCTGATTAACCCCGAAACTCGTGCTTTACAGACTAAATTTAAAAATATTTGTATTTGGACCTCTATTGGTACTGATGTGTTGTGAACTAATCACAATCACATTCAACTCTGTTTAATTATAAAGATGCGTACGCATTCGCGTAAAACACGTATCTATAAAATGCGAAAAAATGTGTCTGTCGTGCATATCCTTGATATGAGTGTAGCGCTGTACCTCGTACCTACGGCCACGTTCAGAGCTGGCGGCGGTCGCAACTTGACGAAGATCCGGCAGAAAACAGAAACTAAACTGTTCTTTATACACTTGTGACTAAAATCATAGAACAGATTACAGAACTAAACAAAATCTTTTATTAATTCTTAGGACCATTAAATGCTAAACCTATAAAATTGTATATGTAAATTTTTAATAGCATACTGACCCAAACTACTCATGTGCGTACGTCACCACAACGACGCAAAATGGCAAGCAGGGTTTCGGACTGACGTTTACATGTGGCCGTGGAACGGAGATTGTGGTGCTGGCCATTCGGTCTTTAAAAAGATTTATCATTGGAAAGAATGCTGCTGAAATATTTAGCAAATTTTCTGAATTCTGGCGGACTATTACGAATGATTCACAAATGAGATGGGTAAGTAAATCCTACATTCAGGTTTTCCGAAACTTTAAATAAATATTTTTAAAGGCCTATTTGGTTTAAATGCATTGTTAGCCTATTGGCTTTAGCGTGCGACCCTCATACCTGAGGTCGTAGGTTCGATCCCCGGCTGTGCACCAATGGACTTTCTTTCTATGTGCGCATGTAACATTTGCTCGAACGGGATAGAAAACATCGTCGAGGAAAAAAAGAGGTTGTGGCGCTACTGATTTATTTTTATTTATTTGGTTTAAATAGTGAAGACTATAGAAGAAGGGACTATAATTAGACCACTACTTTGACGTCAGTATTCAACAAACATTGTAGATAACCTGGAGTTCTTAAAGTTGAATAAAATTAGTTAGTAGCCGGCAGCCGCAGTATGGCACAGTCATATCACTTAAAACAATTATTGTTTCGCCCGTAATCGAATCTACGACTTTCGAGTCATTCGCCAAGTACGTCAATTCAATAATCGTTTTTAAATATCAGAGAAAGTTTATAAGTCCTTTTTAAAAATGAAAGCTGAGGGTGAATGTTTAGATTGGACCCGAGAAAGGAGTAGCTCATCTTGCAGCAGCAGCTGTTCTCAATTCATTATGGGATTTGTGGGCTCGGATTGAAAACAAACCTTTATGGAAATTACTACTAGATTTGGAGCCAGAGGTACGCAAGTTAAAATAGCAAGTATCTTTCTATTAATAAAGCTTTATATGTGTATTTATTATTATTTTTCTTTGGTTTCGTAAAAGGCCTAGCTCTAGCTAGTATGAGCGCCAGGTCATGATAATTGATTGACTATCAAGAGACGGCAATATTTAACGATGATTTTGAATTAATTTTTAAAATTTTATAGTTTGTTTTGACGCATTGTGAAAAACTTTTTTGTTTGGGTAGGAGTTAGTCTCAACAATTGACTTTCGTTATATAAGCGATGTAGTCACTAAAGAAGAAGCCGTTCAAATGCTGAAGGCTATGCAAAATGGGCGGGAAGAGAGGGTGAACTTCTTGGAAACAAATGGATATCCAGCGTATACCACACAAGTTGGTAAGATAATTTTTATTTGAAACAAATATAACAAATAATTTATGGAATGAAACGGTTTTTACTCATACATTTACAATATAGTCTGTAGTTATAGAGTAATAAACTCTAAAGTTTTTAATTCGACGTCAATTATTACACAAACAAAAATTTCTCGACAAATGCCACAGACGTCGATAACAGGTTCCTACAATCGCTAGAAACCAAGAATTATATCTAAGTACATCAAATATGATATACTTAATACATTTTATTTTAGTACTTAGAATATTTTTGTTTTGAGGTATATTATTACTTTAACATTGTATCGTTGATACAGTGAACCGAAAACTAAAAATCAAATCAAAAATAATAACAGTATATAGATAGACCAGCCTGAGAACATAATGATTCATTTCAAATTTAATTTGCATTGATTTTATTTATTTATTTTAAAAAAGAATATAGAAATGTATGTGACGATGAAACACAAATGTAAAATATTATTATAAAATATTATATTATTAGGGTTGCCTGGAAGAAATCGCTTGTTAGCGATAAGGCCGCCCGTTGCCTTATAACTTTTGTAACCTATTTTTTATGTTTGTTATGTGTATGTTTTTGATTAAGGTAATAAAGTATAAATAAATATTTTTTGACCTTGACAAAGTCAGATGTTTTTGCTAACAAAAGTATGATTATCTAGTATCTTTATTTTATAAGAACATTTTATGCATTTTAAATGTTTAATACTATCTATTTCAATTTGTGTACCCTTAACACTCCAATTCTCACCCATTCTCGCACAATATTCACTAGTTTTTTTATAGGCATTGTTCCCATATATTATGTTGCTGTTGAATTTATAGTCTTGCCGGTATTTGAAGGTTAACAATAAGTTTAATAAGTTTTAATTAACACAAATTAAAAAGTGCCTCTATATCATCAATCAACGTACACAGAAGCAGTCTCGTGCCCCAATTTCATCATATATTATATTATAAATATGTATTAATAATTACGCTGAGTCTATCTAATTCATAGCCATTAAATAATTATTCATAATTGCTGAACTGTACGAAACGGGAAGCCCCAATACCCGCACTTGCTAGTAATACATATATTATGTGCGTATGACGTAGTGCCATAGCGACTCGGATCTTACTACGCAATGCATGCGCAAAATTCAAGTTTGGGGTACGTCATTATTTGGAAGTGGCCTTCATATCAATTAAGTAAATCATTATCGACTGGAAATTACATAGCTTCTATATGGATTCAAATCTTTGCCTCAACCTTGCTTTAAACTGCAGCTTTTGTCTTTTATTTATGTCAATCTTGCGAGCCCCTCGTCACCACATTATTGATTTTTACCTAGTATTAACTTCTGACTTGAGTGTCGTCTCTTTCAGGTTGGATGGGGTATAGCGATGAATTGGTGGAAGAACTTTGTCGCAAATATTTAGATCTAGGATTTACGCATTTCAAAGTAAAGGTTGGTCGTAGTGTAGAGGATGACCTCAGAAGAGCAACTGTTGTTCGAAAATGTATAGGAGACGAGAAGGTCTTGGTAAGGAATTTGAAATGTTTCCTTAAATTTTATATTCGCTCTTATCTTAAACATTTTTAAGCAAAAACAAAATCTTAAGATTAGATTCATAGTCCATTGAAATCTTAAAATTGCGTCCCCTAACAAAAGTTCAGCCCATGTAACATTTCAATGGACTATCAGTAATAGTATCGTACGTATGGATGCCGCTTTCGTAAGATAAATTAGGATTCTATCGAGATGGCGCCACTCGTTTATGAATAATGGCACCCATGTTTTACCTATCATAAAATAATTCAAGAAATCTCCGTACGAATTACGATAACGAGATTACTACTGTAATCCTGCTTCTCATGCTTATTAATTTTTATTTATTTATTACATATATTGTTTATATTTTATGCAGTACATTTTTAAATTATGCATTATTTACAGTTAAAATATAACGATATTATAAGTTATAAATATTTGATTGTACTTAAAAATTATACTGTAGAAAATGGTTGTATACTACTGTTCATACCTTTTTGTACCAGGTTTATACGGTCTGTGTAAAATGGTATATATAGAGATGTAAACAATTTTTTTTGTACAGATGGTAGACGCGAATCAAGCATGGGATGTGGAGGAAGCTATTTCGTGGATGAAGAAACTAGCTCATTTGCATCCATTATGGATCGAAGAACCTACGTCACCTGATGACGTGCTTGGTCATGCTGCTATTGCTAAAGCTTTAAAGTTAGTAACTTATTTCTTTAGAGATAAAAATCACCAAAGACCCTTCATACATCTACAACAACAGCAGGGTGACAGCCGAAAACTAGGTCATATCTTCGACAGTTATTTAAACCGAGAAGTCACACAGCTGCTTTTGAAGGAAGCTTTAAACGAGCCACTAAATGGTACAAAACAGATAATTACTCTTTGTAAATTACTGTACTAAGAATAGTTAGTAAATTCCCTAACTATTCATAGTTGCACTAAAGCAGGAAGCGTACATTCTATTCTGCACTCATTATATACGAATCATCTTTAGCTTTACAATTGCACACCAAAAGTTTACACACCACATTGTCCCATTTTTATATTATTACATATTAAATTGAGAATTTAATATGTAAAATCACATTCTGTTGTCTAAATTGAGGAGAACTGAAAATCGTACCCTACCTCATTTAGCCTCACCATTCACTGCTTACAAATGTTACATTACATTAATGTTATTTCTTCAAGTAAGTAGTTCAATTTAAGACTAATAACATAAGAATGTGAAATAGAATGATATGTGATGTGACTGAATGAATGTGCTTTCTTCTTTTTTTCTTATTCGTTTCGATGACCCTGGTTTAACGCGCCTTGCCGGAGGTCTTCAGCTAATTACATAGACTTAAAATTGTTAATTAATAACGTGAAAAATAGATCACGGCAATTTTACCTTTGGCCTTTTATACTGAAAGACAATCTTATTACAGGTATTTGTGTGCGTGGGTATTTGGAAGGAGATAAATATTAACTGTATTTTTTTAGGCCATATGGCATCGGGGTGGCGACTGGTGAAATGTGTGCAAATCGCGTTATGTTCAAGCAATTTTTGCAAAGCGGTGGCATGCAGTATTGTCAAATTGACTCTGCCAGAATCGGAGGGATTAACGAAATACTCTCTGTGTACCTTATGGCTCAAAAACTTAACGGTAGTATTTAATTATTATAATTGTAATCAGCGAAACAGCGTGTCGGTACAAAAATAATTTTACTATGAAAACAGTAAGAGATAACAAACGTTTTGTCCACATGTACAAAAACCAAACATCTCAATGTTAAAAACTACTAAACGGACTTTTCTTGTGGTTTTAGCTAGCTAGCTAGCTAATCTTAATGATATATTTGTAATATATCATTAAGATTAGCTAGGGGGAACTTTGAATAGCTTTGTTTTGTTAGTTTGTAGTTAAAATAGGATCTCAACGAAAAACAATTACTGAATCGATAAACAATAAATTAGTTTATTCAAGAAAAAATGTGATGAAACCTTTATTTTTGACTAATTGAACTACAATTAGTCAAAAATAAAGGTTTTATTAAATCACCACATTTTTTCTTGAATAAACTAATTTATTGTTTATCGCTTTTATGTTATATTTATTGGTTATTTATGTTATCTGAATCGTACCTATAAGTTAAACCAACTATTAATTCTTCACTACTAAAACGGGCTTTTTAGACAGTGTCTCAGTAATATTGACTGAAATTTATTAATTTCAGTGAAAGTATGTCCACACGCTGGCGGTGTTGGTCTTTGTGAAATGGTGCAGCATTTACAGTTTTGGGACTACGTATGCCTCTCCGGGAGTATGGAGGGCCGACTTATTGAATACGTGGACCAACAGCACGAACATTTCACTGACCCATGTGTTGTTGAAAAGGCTAGATATATGGCGCCTAAGGTAATGTTATTTATGTTTATTATTGTTTATTTGCAAAGTTTCAGCCATATAAAATAGGCATACAATTGTCAGAATGTCATATAATAAGAACATAATCATAATGCCATAATTATAAATTTACTTATTTATAATTGGTGTTAAACTTATGGTCTAAATTCTCGCCCACGCTATAAAGGCACCTTGCCTCTAAACATAGTTAATCACCTTCCCCGAAAGCATTACACGGCAGTGATCTATTACTTCTAGGAAGGTGATTAAATAGGTTGATAGCCATGACGTGACAATTTTTTGATTACATCGTGGTGCAACATGCAGGCACAAGGAATATTGACGCTATAAAAAGCAAAATATTTAGATTTAAGATTAGACAAGATAAGTTCTTATCTGGCATATCCCAACATACACTTTTCCTTCGCAATAAAATTCTTTGCTTTTGAAATAACATTTAAATATAGTTAAATACGAACCGATGCCCAACGCTTTTATTCAAACCATAAGCAATACACGAATGAGGAAGAAGAAATATTAACAGTACTTTAGAGATCTAAAATAGTAGGTCTTTAATTCTTCCAAAGTCGATCTTATTCTCTCAATTCTAGCGTACTCTGTAACTTCCAAAAGCAATAACGATACCTTCAACGGTATGGTTTCCCACTACCAATACCATACCAGTGTTTTGCGACATCAGATTTTGCGATATTTAAAGAATTTCAAGATTGGATAGAAACTCAATATTGAAATAGAATTGCTATTTTTAGTTATTTTGACGGACGACGTATTTCTTAATACAGATTTTGTTTCAGATGGCAGGTTACAGTACAAAGTTTTTGCCGGGAACTGTGGAGAAGTTCGCTTACCCAAATGGCAGTGAATGGAAGAGAATGATTAGTGAAGGTGTATTTCCTGCGCCTGACGACGCTGAATTAGTCAACGAATGAAAAACCAACTGTATACATATTATTAAGTTTTTAAATATCCATACACTTATCTAAGGTTACTCAATTTTTTTTAACAAAAGGTGGTAATTTCGTTTCTTAAATTTCTTTGATCTTATACAATGAAGTAAACAATTAAAAATTTAATAATGTTAAAATGCGTTTGGTATTAAGCACCAACATAATCTTCATAATACTATCAACATAGTGCCTAATAAAACGAGGCTTGATCTTTTAGCGCTGCGTAGACCCGTCCGATCTCTCTCTCTTGTTCCAACAGTACAAGCAGTACCACTGTCTCTCAGAAAACAGGCGTGAAGTGATGCAATATGTTCGCCTTATTATACTCACGTTTCGTGCGGTGAGAGAAATTCGGAGCCCATCCGCTCCTCGCCAAAAAAAAAATGAAGGTGCAGAACAAAAAAAAACTACCCCCCACTACACGCGCTCGCGGTGGAGAAAACCCCTCAGGGTGTCCTCCACAGGGACGCTTAGCACCCGGTGGGGGACGCACAGGCTGCCCTTCGTATTCTGGAAGGGAACAATTCTGCGCTCGTTGACGATTCGACATTCGACACCCGCCTTGGACTTACCAACGTGACAAGGGAGTAATGGTAGTAATAATAATATCTTCTACGTCATGCTCCCGAGTATTACGCAAAAGATGTTACGATAATCGTACGTAATTCTTAGTGATACACCACTTAATAGAGATAACGTCATAATTTAAAAAAATCTTATAATATTTTCACATAACCAGTATTTATTTTAATATATCTGGGTAAATGAGTTAATTAATTTTTATTCTTCAAATTATTTAATATTACTCAAAACTAACATTTCAGCTTTACTTGAATTTTCCCACGCGTGATTTGCTTCAGTTTAAAAATATCTAATATCATTATTTACCACTGATGTAAATACAAATGGCAAAAGCAAATAAGATAAAACATATTTTAATTCGTTACGGAAATACCTCCTAGTGTTTCCATGGAAAAATTAAGATTTCATCTGTAAACAATATACCTAATGAACAGTAGGATAATGACATATTTCAAATAAACACACGAGACTCCGTTATTCATAAACGTACATAAATATACCTAACCTTGTTTTCTGTCCTTTGCACATTTAACTAATTTACATTTAGGGTAAAAGCCGGATAGTTGCCTCGGTGGGATACATGCCCCGGTGTTTGAAAAACTATGTTAAGATTATAATTTGTATTGGCGCTTTACTACAATAAGTAGTGACTGCCCCTCAGGCCTAAATGCCACATAAGCCATCGGAATAGGCCCAAGTGTTTTGTACGTGTAAGCAAAAATCTTCCGCGCCGAAACTTTGACGGGCGTTATATTTATATTGGTAAGTAATTTCTATTGAATATTTTTATTACTGATCGTGGTTTCAGTCAACTTTTTGTTTCTTTGCATGCATTAGAGTTTAAATTACACTGTTTATCGTGTTTTATTGCTAAATAATTTTTATTTATTTCGCAAATAAAAAGGGCAAGTATCCGCATCAAAAAGGATAGTCGCCCTGCTTACTGTCGCGGATAGTTGCCCCTAGAGTGACTAAACATTTCTTAACAAGCAAAGACGGATTTTATTTTTTTGCTGTTTTTTTGGTGTTTATTCGAATTTACTTTGTCTCTAACTTGTTGTAAATTAAATATATATCTACTTCACAGTTTTATATATTTATTATAGATAAGCAAAATGCCTCATCAACATCAACTGGACATAAGATAGCTTAACACTTGCCTTCGAAAAATTGAGACAAAGTTGGGATTAAAGGACAACTTTATTAATGAGAGTAAAATGGCTGGACTTCAATGGCTAAAATCCTGATATAACTTTGAGACAAGCTGAGGGTTTATCAATTGAAAGAGCGAAGGGTCTCAACAGAACAGAAGTTGCAATTTTTTTTCAAACTATTTTAACTGAGAATAATTTTCTGGATAAGCTAGATAAAATATTTAACATGGATGAAAGCGGTGTCCAACTCAATAATAAAATTGGTAAAGTATTAGCTAAGAAAGGTGCTAAAGCAGTTGAATCATTACTTCCGGTGAAAAAGGAGAAAAATTACTGTTGTTTCTTAATATTTGAAAATGTACTTAATAAAAGATCTCAGTAAATTATAAAGACTGTTAAATAAATAATAAAGATTACTCTAATTGATATAAATTTATTTCTATACAAAATAAAAACGCACGAGGCAAGTATCCCCCGAAGCATTTTCTACGCTAGGCTACTATCCGCCACAGTAGGCAACTATCCCTTTTCTGAGAGGTGAAATAAAACAGTATTTATTCAAAACCATTGTTAATTATGTATACAAAAATAGACTTTTATAGAAGATAAAAGACCTATGTTGCGAGATACATACTAAATAATTTTCAGCAAGTTCATATTTAAAAAATATAAAGCTTTTTCGAAAAGTGGGGCAACTATCCGGCTTTTCCCCTATATTACGTTTTTAATGCTAGCTAGGGGCGTCATAGTGCGACTCTCATCCCTGATGTCGTAAGTTCGATCACCAACCGCACTAATAGACTTTCTGTATATGCGCATCTAACATTCACTTGAAGGAAAACAACATGAAGAAACTGGTATGTCTCAAATCCAAAAATCTACGACATAGGTCAGATAGAAGGCTGAAACGGATATAATCTGAAGCCTTTCGCCACTGGACTATTATTATTAGTACCTACGTTTACATAAATACCGCTAATTCGATACTATTGTTTTGCCTTTGAATGAACTTGTTGTTCTTATTTAATCTATAAAACTTCTCTACATTTGTTTATATTATCGCGTAGGGACAGACAGATAGCAATATTATGATAAGAAACCGCAGAAAATAATCAACAATTTGTTTGTCATTAACCGCCTAAAAACAATGGTATCTATAATCAGATATTTTTTGTATTATTGATTGATCGACAAATTTCACAATCTCACTGTTGACAGTGTAAAGCCTATTATGGGTATTTCAAGAATGTTCATGCCCTAGGGGTCAAAATGTAAGACGAAACAACGTTGCGTTCCGTTTGATTTTTATTTGTCAACAGCATTAGTTCAATGCGTTGACAACGCGACATGAAATAACATTAGTTTATGTTATATAACCAATCAAATACACGATTTCAGTCCAAAACAAAAAAAATACTATGAAGTATTTCCGACCACGTTTACACAACTTATACCCAAGTATTACAATCGCTTAGATAATTTTTTACATTATAATAACTCTAACCTATATAGTTGAAATTTCTTCATCAATAAGGCTTGTTCATAGCTAGGGAGATTGATGAAAAACTACTTAAAAAATATTTACTCGTTTTATGAAGTCTTGTTTAGTATTAGTTGAATGCCTATTAGAATTTAGAAGTATAATATTAAAAAGACTACTATTGTCTATTACGTAGTTTTAAAATTGCCAACATATTTTCGTACATACATGCTTCATAAATGTACTGCATTGTATATGTTATTCTTTAAATTTATTACGTGTACATATAGACATGGAGTGTATGGAATTTACAATTTAAAGTACCCAGGAACATAATCTTATTAATCTTTTCCGTAAATGAAGGTGTCAAGCGGCCGTAACCTTCATGAACGTCAATGGCTCATCCCCCGGGAAATCTAAGTTTAAAATGAAAATGGACATAGGATGTCTTATTGTGATTTATGTATGTACAGTTTCTGGTTCATCGGGATTCTCTAAATAATAGACGCCTATAAACCACGCGATCAGGCTATATTAACTACTCACGTACAACAAAAGGATATATATGTTAATTAAATGCTATACTTGTAATGTCTAACCAGACGTAGGCAACGTCTGGCTATACTCTCAGGGCGTAACTCCGACGATTTAGGTAATCGCCACGCTTAGAAAACTATGAAAGCCCGAGTGGGCAAAATGTACAGCCTCGGCTTGTACAAAGTAAATCTTATTGCCAATAGCAGGTTAGTACAGAAACTGTGGAGAAATTCGGTAGTGAACAGAAGGCCCAAATAAGCCATCGAATGAAAAACCAATATTGTAAAAATATTTTAATTAAAATTAAAACTAGTATATATACAGATAAAACATATATAAAAATACTTTACGCCTATATGGGGTCGTTATTTTCAAAAATTCGCACTCATTTTATAGTAAAAGATGTTTGTGCTGTAATTTTATTTGTTCTTACAATCTATTAGTTAAACTGTTTTTTACAAATTGGCATAAATTGCATAAACGCTTAAATACGTACACGACAAATAGTGAGGTGCACAGCCGGGGTTCGAACCTACGACCTCAGGGATGAGAGGTTTTACGGTTTGACGGTCATTTCCAACATTCGCTAAAAGAGCAAATTTCTAATCCTTCTTTAAAAACGAAAAAGAACTAAGCTTAGATTGTTTTGGGGCATTTGTGACGGTCTCCTCCATACTATCGTCCAGTTTTCGTTTTGAACTCTCTGCGGGTTTGTTGATACTTTTGAATGTTCTTATACCATGTCGAGTTAATTCAGACGGCGTTAATTCGGGATTTTGTTGTTCCATAGTTGTTTTGTTTCGCGAAAACCAATCTACGAATGTCTCGTTTTCTAGTGGTGTTAAAGGCTGTAAAAAAAGAGTTAGTTAGAACAAAATTTCAAACACCTGTCAACATGATGATTTAAGTTTCCGAGAAATTCGTGAACAACATATCTTAATCTAAACCAAAATGTATGTATATAATATTAGTTATAAATAAATAAATCACTGGCGCTACAACCTCTTTTGGTCTTAGGGCTTCAGATTTCTGGATCTGTTTCATAATCATTTGTCTTGTAGGCAAGTAGGTGACCAGCCTCCTGTGCCTCACACACACAGTCGACTTTGGGTCTAAGACAAGCCGGTTTCTTCACGATGTTTTCCATCAACGTTCGAGCGAATGTTAAATGCGCACATAGAAAGAAAGTCCATTGGTGCACAGCCGGGGATCGAACCTACGATCTCAGGAATGAGAATCGCACGCTGAAGCCACTGGGCCAACACTGCTCTGTTCACGCATATATATAATTTTTATATGTGGTCAAAGGAGCTTGTGTCTGCAAAAAACTCGACCCAAATTAAATCTATTCCACTAATTATTTTTTGGCTATGAACTCTTAATTAATATAATTACAGTACAGTAATATCGCCTGTTTACGATAAGATTAGTGTATTTTTATAAATTCAACTTACGTCACTATTTTCTGCCGTTTCCGTAGAATGAACTTCCACCAACGTCCTTTCAGTTAATGTTAAAGGACTTTGCACATTTTTATTTGGATTCTGTTGTTTCTTAAAAGGATTCCGTGCACCTCCGGGCGATGATTTAATTGGCTGACAAATAAATACAATTTATTTGTTTTATTAATATATCTGCAGAAAATTATTTAGTCCACATACTAATAAGTGTTTTAAGAAATGTGCAATGTGTTATAAACTAAATATTAGTTTGTGACATAATTATTGAATTATTCATAAATTTTCAACTTGTATGCAAGATTAAGATACACTTTCGTAAGTTATTCCCATACGAAAAATCCTAAACGAGATATTATGAAAACCTGGTAGCAAGTATTATAGTGGCTCACTCCACAAGCAAAAAAGCACCTCATTAATTCGCACAACTGGACTGGTAACAGAAGCTGTTTAAATACAAGTAAGACCTGACTGTTTTGAGAAAAATACCTTTCCGTAAACTAACTTACAGATACCGGCAAACATCTTGAACAAAATAATGTCCGCAGAAGCGATTTTTAGGTATCACTGGGAGGGGGCGGCGGCGGGAGAGTGACGTGTCGATCGCGTGAATGGTAAAACAGTTGACGTTTGTGTCCCGCGTTTGTGTACGATGCGCAAACTTTCCTCCGCTCCCTTGTTTAATGCTCAAGAAGTTTGCCGGTATCTGTACTAAGATGTAAAACTATCTAAATTTATATGAAAAATAATTCACCACAGGTTTTATCGGCGTGACAGTCTCCACTTTCTTATTCACCGTCTTCTGTGGTATTATGAGGCTTGCGTTCAATTCTTCTGTACTCGTGACGTCATATGTCTCTTGGGTATCCAATTCTCGGAAATGTGTATTCAATTTGTCGGCGTTTTGCTCCCACGTGTCGGCCAAATTTGACAATTTGTCGGCCAAATGCATTCGGCCAAGGCGAGATGCGTATTTTGCGGCTAAAGGTAGCAGGCGATCGTCCTTTAGTAGTTCCATTAGTTCTAAGGCTCGTTGTTCTATTTCGCTTCGGCAAGCTAACTGTTAGAGTAAAGTTTGTTATGTCAAAGGCCCTTACAATATGACAGTTCCTTCAACGATCTTTTTGGAAACCCGTTTATTGATAAAAATATGTGCGACCGATATTTCTAGAATAAATGCAAGTTTAATCAATCTAATTGTAAACACATTAAATGCAATTTATGTAATTGATTTAAAAGCAACATCGAAATCGCTGTGTAACATTCTGCTCCTCAGCATAATGCTGAGCCAGGGCCAATTACAACCACAGCACACACACATTACACACTTGAAACGAACCGAATGGGAAAAGGGAAAAAAATATTTTTATTTTTATATATCTCTCATTATATTTTTTTATTTTATTTTTTTCTTTGATTATTGTTATTTTGTGTGTGTGTTTTTGTTAGTAATAAATGTTATGTCTATGTCAAATCCTTTTCAATCAAACGAATATAAAATTTAATGATAAGAAAACTTACAGCGAACAACTTCAGCGCGGTTTCCCTTGCCGCTTTGACGTCAACATCAGAAGAAGTATGGGCCCAACGGACTAACTGCTCTTCATACTGACTTTTCTCTGTATCCAATTCACACAGTGGCATCTGTAACAAATTGAAAAATCTGTTACAGTCCGCCTCTTCAACGTAATAAGTATTTTAAAATTTAACGGAATTTAGTAAAAAAGGTAAGAAAATCTTAAACACTAATTGTAGTCTCTATTAAGGGGTATACACTTAGTTTTTGTGATATGATGTTGGTATAGAAGGAACTAATTTTGCCAAATTCGACATTCTAGTATTAAGAAATCTATGTTTAGTTTTGTTCCCAACACACTACTCTTAAGCTCTTTTTTTATAATATACAAGCAGACCGGCCAAGCGTTGCTGTGGTTAAGGTTTCAGTTATATTACATAGTAGTAACCTATTCAAGGGAAACGGTAGGAGAACACCAGTCATGGGGACCACCGTGCTTTTTTGGTGGTAATGCCATTAAATTGTAGCGCCATCTGTTAGAATTTTGACTATAAAATAATAAACAAATATGTATTTTAAAATAATTTTACGGGTATAAATTGAGATGTAAGCTATTCTATCTTTTAAGTTAGATCAAACTGCACACGGTGTGCAAATTTGATTGAAATCGGTTTGTAATTTAGGAGTCCATAGCGGACAAACAACGTGACACGTAAGTTATATATATTAAAATAATAAAACTAAATAAAATATCAATTGATTGATTGATTGTAACGTCACAAGAGATTGAAGGTAACTTCATACTCGGAGGGTAAATATGACTCCCGTATGACAAAAAATCTGTATCAGCATAGGACAGGTTGACAAGATATTGTTCGAGATTTTTAGTGAATGTATGTAATGTGAGTTTTGAAATGCTAGTGATAATTTAGTTTTTAAGAAAGTGGTTATAGATGAAAGGGCCTCGGATGGAGAAATATGGCTAGCATTTAAATTGTTTTAGTGAAAGATAGGATGTTAGACAAAAAATTTGGTTTCTTTCCACCTACGAGACGCGCTACAGCGTTAAGGCCGATTTACATCTGACGAGCGAATGCTCATTCTATCCCCACTATATCAAATTCTTTTAGTGTAAACATTCGTAGAGCATTCTTTCATCTGGAACTTCGATAGACTTCTATCATATTTAAGCATATCTCTTGAGACCAATGCATAGTTGAATCGATGTTCTCGAACACAAGAACATTTTGAAGAGACCGTTCCGGGAAGCGAGTTTACATCGAGCGAGCGAGCATTCTTAGAATACTCCATAGAATGTTTATGAACGCACTAAGAACAATGAAAGAATGCTTTACGCCTGTTTACACTAAAAGAATTTGATACACTAATAGGATAGAATGAGCATTCGCTCGTCTGATGTAAATGGACCTTTACACTAAAAGATCGAGAAAGAATGCTCTTGTTCTAGCTCTAGCGCTACGTTCGTTTGGTTTAAACGCGCCTTTAGACACAGAAGATTAAATCAATAGTACAGTTATTTAACGGCAGGAGGTATATCTTTACCATAAATGACTAGTATTGGCAGTTATAATAAATTATTCAGGATCTTTAGCTAATTGTAAACTTATAAAATTCTATGAAATGCTAGTTTTATTGCAATGCCCATTGTCCTTTTAAATAACGAAGGCCAAAGTCTAAAATTTTTAGAAGGAATGAATATATAATATTATGTATATTCTCATACCTGTATCGGTAGTTCAGCAACGATCGGTTTGGGCGCTGTTAGTGGGAAGCTTGATCCTCTACACATAATGGCACAAATCTTTTGTGCCTGCTCATTTACCTATAAAAAATGTTTGTATGAAAACTATTAGTCTTGTACTGTTCTATTGCCTATGCTTTGTTTGGTTACAACTCACCGATACAATAAACCAAGAATCAGAAGCGCCTTTACAATGTGAAGTTGTATCACATATGGGCATCCAAACAGCACTAGTGACGTCATACATTCTAACGATTCCCGTACTATCGCAAGAGCAGGGCGAGCCTGCTTCACTCGTCCCTAGCCAACTTAATTTAGACCCAGGAGTTAAAGGCATAAAGACCGTTTTGCTGCGAACTTGTCGACCTAAAACAATATATTGATTCTTCAAATACGCTATTGACCGCGCAACGGATTTAGTTGTTTAGATAATCATGAAGATAGGTTCGTCCCGGTGAAACAATGTTTTTTTCAAGTTAGTAGAAAAATACAAATGTAGGATAGCTTGAATAACACCTTCATACAAAAATTGTAATAAATAAACGCTAAGAAACTATATTTGATTAGGCTCAAAGCCTTTGGGTAAGATTCAGAAACGAGATTTATCGTGAACTCCCATCTGTCAAAATCCTCTACATTTTTGACATACGGAAGTATTCCCGTGCACTTAGCGACCGTTTGACTTAATAATGCATGGAGCAGGTTAAATGAAGTTGTGTATTATGAAATGCGAAACAAATTCAGTTTCAGAAACAGTCGTCACGCCATCATACTGACCATTAAAAGCGATAATATCCATGGCCAGGTGCTGATCAGATAATCCAGGGTCAGTTTGGTGGTACACAGCAAATACAGTTGTGTTAACACCCGCTAAGCATACAACTGGACCAGCCAGAGAAATTACCTGAAGCAATTTATTACAAGATCTTTGACATCAAAAATATATGTAAATTCCGATGTATTTAGAGCATGCATAATGCATATATAAAAGATTGAGGTCTATATTAAAAAAACTGAGAATAAATTGGCTATTGTGATTTTCAAAAATAAACTAGAAGTCCATTTTATTGTTTTATCGGCGTAGACTGCTTACTTATCAGTAGCGGCATTCGTAGTCAAATTCAAATGATATTTTGATACATAAAATCAAAAAAGACGCGGTAACGGTTCAATAACAAGATCTTTTTCATTATGGACAGTTCCGAGAAACTTTTTGATTTCGGAAATCAATTAGAAAATGACTTGATATTATTTTTTTGTATTATTTTTACTAAATACCAGTGGCCCTACGCCACAGATATCTATTTATTTTTTATTTTAGGTTACAAGTGTAAATAGTTACCGATATTTTAATTTGATTTGTCGATTTTTGGATATAAGGCATGCCGGTTTCTTCACAATGTTTTCCTTCACCAAACGAGCTACTTTTAAAAGAAGAAGAGAAATAGGCCATTGATACACAGCAGAGATTCGAACACAATACCTCAGACCGGTTTTTTCAAGTAACGAAATTAAACGTACCTGTCTTTGAGTCCCCATGGGAGTGAATATTCTCAATAATCTTGCATTCGTAGCACATGCCACGATTCCACTAGCGGCAGTAACACATACGATTTCTTCAGTATCGGGTAATGAGATAGTCCACTCTTTACTACTACCAATTAGTGATATACAGACCAGTTTACTATAAAAACAAGGAAACAATATATATAATAAAAAATGACACATAAAATTTGCTAGATTAAAATATAAATATATTTACTTTAAAAAATGTTCAAGAATTCCATTGCAGTATAGTAGATTAAGAATAATAAAAAATTTACATTCTACATTGACTAAATATAATGGCTACATTAAAAAAAATCCATGTGTTTTAAATTTCATATTAATCAGTCGGTAAAGTGACGGATTTGATAGAGACGTGATTTTTCTAGAAAATTGTGTAATTAATTGTTATTATTTATATTTTGTTTCAAAACAAACGCTTTTGTTTGCTTGTATGCGAATTTTCATAATAACAGAATATGAAGTAAAATAGTTATGACAAAAACTAACATGATTATTTTGAAATGGCTGCCCTTTAAAGTTTATTATTTGTCAGATCCGTCACTATTCCACGACTATGACGAAATTATTGTTAAAAGTTGTTATTAAGAAAACAATTACCTTGGTGTTTCACAAGCGAGCGCTAATACGTGCGTGGATAGGCTGGCCATGGTATGGTTAAGGTAATTGTTAAGATGAATTCCATGATGTACGTTCGAATCGTGAAATTCAACATCAATTGTCGATTCCCCATTCTCCCCAGTGTGACAGCGAACGATTCCAACTTCATTCCAACACATGTACCTAGTTAAACATCGCTATGATATTATTAAAAAACTTATTTTGTTTTCAATGGCAATAGTTTTAACTTTATGCCAGTTTCATTTAAAAGGTAGGGACTCTACACGCGTGAAAACATAAACAAAGACATCAAAAGGAAACAAAGGGATAAGCTAGTTAAAAAACAAAATATGGACATAAACATATTAAATCTTAATATTATTATTGATTATGAAAGAAGATAATACATTATAGTACAATAAAGGATAAAGCTTAAGTTGGAGATTTTAGTCGGAACCGGAAATGTAGTAATTGTAAGGAATTCAGAAAGGAGGTGCGATAAAAAACTTTTTTAAACTATGTGTATATATAAAATCTTTTTTATACCATACTTAGACTGACGATTCCGGCTTTATTCCAACACATGTACATAGTGAAACTGTCGATACAAAGTCTTTTAACCCGAGCCTAAACTACTAGAAGATTGTTTAGCGATTATGTAAATTCCTTCGAATTGTTTTTCCAACTTTATTGCTTTGTGATACCGTTTATTTTAAAAATTATTTATTTAACGTTTCTTATGCTTAACAGCCTGCATGATCATGGGTTGAGATGATATAGGTGCAGTGACAGTCGAAGTCTTCCACAGGTATATAGCCCGATGGATTAATGCAACATGAACTCACTGTCCATTACATTTATTATTAGCTTTTCATAGATAATGTGTTTTATAATTACGAATACATCTTGTATAGAAGTAGAAAAAGCAGTAAATTTATAAGTGCCTATAGAACATACACAAATTGTTATTTTTAGTAAGTATCGGCTCTAAAAACCCCTCGTTAGGCAAGTTCGCGTCAGTATGCCATGCCAGTAATAAAACACATATACTATTTTTCGATCAGACACAGTCTTATTACATAATTTTTCCTGACATAGTACGTCTTCAAGGATTGATTAATCAGTGACCGTTCTGTGTCACATGTTGTAAATATAAATATATTTTTTAAATCGATTTTATAATAAATTAAAAGTTATATATACATATAGATAAATACAGATTACTGTCAAAAACACTTTATTTGAATCCACTTAAAGTGTCTACATAAACTTATAAATGTTTACCTATGTTCAAGATGCCCAGGAGTTGACGACGGTTGAAAAGGCGCTTGAGGGGGTACAGTAGATGGCGCTGGAATCGCTGTCATCGCTCGAGACACAGGGCGGGAATCTCTTTCCACTAAGCCAAGGGTCTCATTCTTAATCCTCTCCAATGATATCGCATTATCGTCATCACTTTCATAGTTTTCGATCAAATCGTCTACTAATCCATCGTTATCTGAAGTAAAATTTAAATATCTAGTACAATACTAAGTAGATAAAGCATTCAAATGCATTTTGAAAGAACCGAACTTGGGTGATTTAATTAATTCATAATATACCATAAGAAAAAAAGGTTTTTACAAAAACTTTTACATTTTATTTATATTTTTTAACTCATAAAACTACTATACATTACACATATATTATTGCCCAACGGTATTTCGCACAGTATATAAAAAAATATTTTGACATCGTACTTTTATATTTCATTCACACAATTTGAAGTTAGAGTTAAATTAGGGGAACAGAGTACCTGAAGAGTTAAAGAATATCTACATTGTTATCACTTAAATAAATACAGGGTTAGTACCATCCATTCTCTCAACGGTTTCTATATCTTCTTCAGCGTCAATTCCAATTTTAGAACTGTCTTTGCCATAACAGTTTACTAACATTCCCAGTTGGCCAGCCACATCACAGTATACTAATACACCATTACCTGAAATTCAATTAAAAATAAAATTGTTACATAATTTATGATAAAAAAATATTCATAGAATTCCAGACTGAATGTTAGAAAAGATTTCAAAAGAGTCTAACATCTCACAAGTAAATATCAGTTGCAAAATCGTAAAAACAGAAATCGCTACAAGAGAAAAAAATAGGTAAAAGAGAAAAGAATTAAGGAATATTCATAAATTTAAATTGGAGTATATTTAGTCAAACATTAATCAATACATAAATGTAAGCGATATTGGTTTATTGCAAAACAATAAATTTAGTAATACCTACAGCCATATACATATATACCAATGCAAGATAATAACATGTATAAAATAATTCAAGCATTGGTCTTAATATGATTCTTAATTAGTATTACTGCCAGTGTTGTCCACTATTTCTTTACCTTTTGGATTCCAAGCCATTGAAGAGACATTATGTGATGTGGGATGTTCTATAATATCAATACAATTTCCACTCTGTACTTCCCAAATAGCTATCTGACCCGCCACACTACTACCAGCCAAATACTGACCACAAGGTGAAAATAAACTCTGGGATATGGCACATTTGATCTAAGAACAGAAATTAATTATTTTAATTGCTATCTAATACCTAATCTGCTGTTTTGATGGTAATGTTTTTTTTCTGCTTAACAAAAATTGCTATTATTTTTATTTTATATGTATTTTACTTTTTGTAACATTAATGTTTATCAAAATGTAATATATTGTAGATAAAAGAGCTTGTAACATATACGGTAGATATACATACAGTATTATGTATGATGTGGTAAACTTCGATAAATAGATAAAATAAAATATATGTTTAAATGAACAAAAATTCATTAACTACCTGAGAAAAAGTGTATGTTCTCATGACTAAATGAATATTGTTTGTAATATTTATTGTTTATAAATTTATGTTATATACACACTTACAGTATTGTGTGAGAATGCCATTCTTTGACCCCAATTATCACTATCTAACAAAACAATCTCTTTGTTATTAGGATATGCCAAATATTTACCCTCTGATGGTTCAAAGCTCATACGACCTGCAATCGTGATAGTGTTTATTAAACTTATAGAATTAATAAATAAAATCATAGAAAATGATTGTATGACTGATCAAACATCTAGGTTTAAATAGTAACATATTTTAACTTACATATAACTTTAGCTGCATAAAATGTATTTATCTTTGGTACACATGACAATTCTTTAATGGTTTTCTGTGTATCTATATCCCATACTCGTAAAATACCATCACCACTAGCTGTGACTGCATATTTCATTTGAGGACATATAGCTATACTGAGTACAGGGCCCTTATGGTCAGACATGACAAACAGCGGTGCTCCACCTTCAAGGCTACAAATCTTTGCTTCCATATTTTCTGAAGTAGTGCCTAAAGCCTGAAATGTTAATTAAGTTACATAATGAACTACATAAGTTTCTTGGTGATTAAGTAATTTTACTAAGAGTCAAGCAGTGACTACTTTAAGTTGCATTGTATGGGCAAGCATTTTATAAATTAAACTCTTTCAACTTACTTCAATTTTGGGTGTGGACATTATTTGAGTAACAGGAGCCGTAAACCTTGTAATAATTCCATCTTTGTCGAATGCAGGAAATGTGTATGCCTGCACTGCATGATTATCTGTTGCTACATATAACCTTTTATCCTTAAAACATACAGCTGAAGCACTTTCACCCACGCAGTGAGACGTTGGATCATCATCTTCAATATCTATCCAGATCCGCACATCACCATCGTGACCACATGTAATAATATGTCTGCAAGACGGTTTTTAAGAAAAATATGATTAAATATTTCTATAACCTGTCTAAAATCTATGTTAGATTAATATTTAAAAAAAAGTGGAATCGTGCCTGCCATCTTCGCTGTAGCAAACATCAGTATGCCCCTCTGCGTGAGCGTATCGCAGAGATTTACTTTCCACTTTCATATTCTTCAATGAGAACTAGAAAACGATTTTGTTTATACCTACGACTAGTATATAACTATTATAATAAATAAGAATTGAATAATCATAAAATCATTCTCCGTAATTATTTTATTATTTCAACATTTAAATATGAATTATGAAGTTTGAAAACTTAAAACTTAAAAGTACACCACAAAAAACTTCAATCAAAATAAATTGAAAATCAGATTTTAAGCGCGAAAATGTCTAAACTCCAGTGATTCAATTTTCAAGTTGTCTGTTGTCAAATGTCAAAGTCAAAACTTATTCGCCGTTATTTATGGTACATGGATGTACACACGGAGTAGAATAATATACCCTATGGCCTTAACAACATTCAACTATAGATAAAATTGTTACTGTATTTGATAATATTGTAGAAACGATAGATTAATTAATAGTGTATTCGAATACTTACATTATACGAACTACCATAAAATTCGTTTAAACAGCGATGTCCATGATATCATTGTTTGATATTTTTGCAGTTATGGAATATTTTTGAATTATTCTTAAGAGTTACATAAATCTTTCACTTCCCTACACATGTTTAAATACTATGTTTTGAAAAAAAATTGAAACATAATATTTGACTGATTATCTGACACCCTGCCAAGTCCTTCTCTTCACATGTGAATTATGAATACTCGATACAGGAAAAAATCTTGCTAATATGCTTGTATCCAGTCGTAAGTGTAAAAAAAATATGTCAGATGTTATAAAAACGTGATAAATTGTCAAACGAAACAATTTAATATCCAATTGCCGGGAAGTTAGGTTGGTCGCTAACAAAATACTTAGATATAAACGTATGTGAAATTTTTACTTTAAAATTTAATTTCTTTTACATTTATGTTATAAAAATAACTTTTCATTCATTGTAAAAGATTATAATATTTTGTAAGCTTTATTTAGTGATTTAAGTTGAGAAAAACGATATCCAAGGTAACCTAAATATGTTTTATTTATAAATTTATAAAAAAAGTAAATGCGTAGGTAGTAATTTGTCAAATTATTGTAATTTATGAATATTTTAATTGATTATTTTATAATTTAAACATAGAAACACTAATAAATATATTAAGTTGTTTATTTGCATTAACTAAAATATACATATTTTGATTATATCTATATTCTTAATATTTTCCGGAGAATTAAATAAAAAATAAGTGTTAAATAGTTCTTTTTTTAAATTCAAGTGTAGAAGTGTTAGTCAAATATTCTCTTAATAATTATTTGCAGATGGGTGACCAAGGATTCCTAAAACAAAAATCGGGATTTGCTACCCTTGCAATCCGTGCAGGACAAGATCCAGACAAATGGGAATCAAAGGCTGTGGTTATGCCCATTGTAACAGCCACAACATTTAAACAAACAGGACCTGCTGAATACAAGGTATATGACTCAAAACATTATTGAATAGACCTGTATACAAAACATGGCACTTTCTTTTCAATACTTTTCTGCTAAACCACCTTAAATTTGCATTCTTAAATCAATAAATCATGACAGAATCATTTCAATTGCAATTATCTTCAGTTTTTGTGATAAAATAAGGTTAGTTAAACTTATACATTTGTACTGGTACATTCATTTTTATATAGGTATGTATACTAGCTGCCCCGGCGAACTTCGTTTCAACTTAAATCCTAGCCTACCTTTTTGGTAAATACCACATTTTGGTTTGCTACCCCAGAGACAGTTCGGTTTTCCGGAATGAAAACTTTTTAGGTTTTTCTGTGATTTTTCTCTATATAAACCTTAAATTTTAAGTTATAAGTTCTTAACTAACAAATCAAAAATAGGGGTTGATCGTAGAGGGTAGATGAAAATTAAGGGTTGTATTTATTTTTGTATGATATCATGAAAAAATAAAAACAAAAAAAACTTGTCTAAAAATTAAAGATAAAAAGTGCGTGCGTACAAAGTACACATGTCACAAGTGAAACTTCTTTGGCAAACTAATTTTTAACTCTTGTTCATATATATACAAATCTAAAACTTTAGATTTCCGAGAGTTAGAGGCAGGGAAAAAGAAAGATATGTTAGGAATTTAACGAAGTGTCGAAAATTAATACAAGTAATAAATTTAATTTTTTTAATCTATTTCTTCGATAGTAAAACCAAGTGGCATTTTAATTTACAATTAGATATCAATAAATTATTTTGCATAAAATATAAAATACTAATATTTCTTAAATTCTCTTTAAGAAATTTTAATTTTAAAAATAGAATTTCTATAAGGTAATTCACCCTTCTCACTCTCTCTCAATCGGTCTCAATCGCTCTCTCCCTTTTCTTCAACAAAAACGCTGCACATCTTCGTGACGTTCCGTAAAAAATTTACCCTCATGCGCCTTAAAAGAAGTTTCACTTCAAAAATTGTTTTGGGGTGGACACCCCGTATCACTTAAGGGTTTGGAAGATAGATAGTAGCCGATTCTCAGACTTACTGAATATGCATAACAAATTTCATAAGAATCGGTCGAGCCGTTTCGGAGGAGTATGGGGATCTGATAATAGTTAATTTTATTTAAATCCACTTAATATAGTAGGGGAGCCCACGTTGCTAAATGGGGATTTACTCGAGCATGATAGAGACCTATTGGGTTGCGAAGCTTAGATAATAAAAATAAAAAAAAGGCATATAATGTACCTTTTCATCGGTGGGGGGAGCGGCTATAGATTTTCAAAAATGTAAAATAAAGTGTGCCATGGACATACTCGAGCGCGTCAGATATTGATAGCATCCGTGTCCTACGTATTTTTAATAATGTACGTATGTTAATCTGAGTGTTTGCATGGTGGGGGTGGTCATAATATGTAAGGGTTGAAAATGAAAAAAAATAATAATCGAGTGCGTCAGATTTTCTAAGAGGGTGTTAATTGAACCTAAAAGAAAAGCTCTCATCTAATAAACTGACGATTTGGATGTGGCACGCTCTCTGACGATTTGACTGATAAGCTCTGGAAATAGCAAAAAGTGTTGTTCAAGTAGAACTTGTATTTATTATACATAATAATTTAAAAAAAATGCTTATTAAGAATAAAAAAATAACCGGAAGAACCGGCTTACTTTGACGATATTCTAAAATATTTATAAATTTTTCTAATGTAAATTTTATTGATTTTTGCAAAGTAGTTTCACCACAAATTACACACCTTATGTTAATATTACTCATAGTTAATATTGTTAAACTAATATAGCCATCACGCAGCCGCACGTATTAAACTTCATCGACAAATATTTCTGACTTCGGCTTGTGGAAATCGTCAGATTATATATTTTTCGTCATCCTTGAATTATTTCAATTGAGAATGTCAAGATGACGTTTTTTTTACAACTTTGCTCCCCTTTCCTTAAGTTACTTGCAAATTGTCAGATTAGTGAAATATACACTTCTTAGCATGACGTAATTAACTCACCCTACCTTAATCTGACGCGCTCGAGAAAGTCTGATGATTAATATTTTTTTACTTATCTGATACTTTATCCTTGACGGGCGGCCATATACATGGGGCTCATATTTGGTAGAGGTACTTAACCGAGTACAAGGTGTAGCGTGGCAGATTAATATACTCCGTGTATATTAATCTGTCACGCTGTAGTAAATCCCGAAATCCCCGCTTGGGCTCCCCTACTAATCTGTATATCATAGTACTCTTTAATAATTGTCGTATTAACATTCTGTGGGCATGTAAAACTTGTAACTTGTTGTTTAATTCCTGCTAGATGTCGGCTAGCGCATTTACGGCAGACAAGTTCTTCTTTCTCTATACAACCACTTACTTTACTGGGCTTCTAGACAGAATCGTGTCATTTTTCAAACCCCACTTAAATCATGTGCACCCGTCAAATAATTATCTCAAAATTTACCCCTAGCTCTATGATAGTGATGATTCTGTTTTAGGAATTTGACTACAGTCGATCTGGTAACCCAACAAGAAATAGCCTTGAAGAATGCTTAGCGGCCCTGGATGGAGGCAAATATGGTTTGACCTTCGCATCAGGTTTGGGAGCTATTACCACCGTCGTGACTTTATTGAATCAAGGAGAACACATTCTTTGCTGCGACGATGTGTACGGTGGCACTAACAGATTGTTGAGGTAAATTCAAAGCACTCACAATATTTTTTAGTTTTTACTGTTTAAGTTATAGCGTAATTGAATTTATGAACTATTGACCTTTTATTGCGTTTATTGCCTCTCGTAAAATAATTGCGTATAGGTAATTGTTGCTTATTAAATATACCAAATTTACAATTTTATATATTTTATTTAGCCATTCTTAGAGTTAATTTATGTAGAATTTTTTAAAATAAATTTACCATTGTTTTAATTTTTTAAATCAGTCTTGAATTAATCGGGCATTTAAGTTGCTGACTTACACAGTTTAGTTAGATATCATTAGGGATAATTTTATCATAATAATATAAAAGCATATCAATTATAGCATCAGACAAAAGGTCAAATCGTAAAAACCTACATTCTAATTAATCCTAATATAACACAAAAAAATATATCTTTCCGATTCTTAGGAATGTTCTTGAAAGACATGGTATTGAAGTATCGTTTGCGGACTTTACAAACGTCGAATACATCAAGAATTCAATTAAGGAAAATACAAAGGTAAGTGGATCTTTCAAACATTCTAGTTTTAATGTAAAACTTTAAGAAAAGTTTAAGACCTAAACGAATTATTAAATATATCTGTTGAACGTATTAGTAAAAATCACCTTTATAGGCAGTAAAGGACTTAAATAAAATTAATTTAGCCTCGTACATCCATAGTTATAGCAGCCGTTAGTCAACGTAAACATTATTTCCAGATGATTTGGGTAGAAACACCCACGAACCCACTTCTCAAGGTAATTGATATGGAAGCGGTAGTAAAAATCGCGAAGCCCAAAGACATTGTAGTTGTAGTAGACAATACATTCCTTACACCGTACTTGCAAAGGCCTCTAGACTTTGGGGTCGATATTGTCTTGTACTCCATCACCAAGTACATGAACGGACATGCTGATGTCATCATGGGAGCCATTGTCGTCAATGATGATGCTCTAGAGAAGAAGCTTCGCTTTTTACAAAACAGTAAGTTTCTTATTGATATAGTAAATGATATTTTTAACGAAAACCGAACATCCTAAGTTAAATCTTTGGTATATCAGGTTTTAGCAGATTCGGGAAAAATGGTATACCAATATGGCCTAGGCTAGTTATAATGAAAAAAGTTTAGTAATAACTTGAAAAATCTACATTGCTAAAATTGTACGATTTTCGTTCATTTGTTTATAAAATCTATCAGAATAGCACGATTTCTTAGAAACAGACAATACTACTGATAAAGATCAGATCAAAATTGCAAAATTGTAGCACATCGTTAGGGCGAAATATTGGTGACTAGTTGTAATGTTCCAAACAATTCAATTAGTTGGTACATGACTCGTCATATTACTGTTTGTATTAGTCGTTCTTCTGGTTACTATATTTTCCATACTGAGTTTTCATCACCGTGATAATCATATTATATCTTACGAAGTCATCAAGGTTAATTAAAGAATTTTTTACTTTTGTGTACGGTTTGAAAATCCCTCATCAATTAGTCCAATTATAACCGAATAAAAACAAATATTTCCTTACTAACATATGCTCTAAACACATTTCTACTGTATATACATTTAGATAAATTTACTTACGAAAATGATTAGATGCTTACACAAAATTGATAGTGTAGCCTAAAACAATTGTAGTAAAACGGTCATTATCATTGAACGACCTTGAACAGTAAATTTAGCATAGTATCTTACGCAATACGTCGCTAGTGTTGCTGTACGCTCATATGAAATTTAAGGAACGATTACCGAATATTCTCTAGGTATCTTGGTCCCTCATCAATACCCATACTTCATTTTTTATATTTAATATCCCGCGGCCAAAACAGCACAACCTATCGCACAAGTCATGAAAAGAATTAACCCACGTTTATAATGTTTCCTTAAGTAATTTTTTTTTTAATATACCCATGTTGTTTGTTTTATAACTACTTATTTTCGCATAAGACGAAAGCTGTGAGAACCGGCTTTCTTTAATCTATGTAAAGATATATGAATACAGTGCGTCCATAGGAATGTCCAAGGTCGACCTTTTTATTTCGATTTCCGGACGATATTTTGAATTTATTTACGTGGCTCAATTTAAAAATAGACAAAATGTTTGGCTTACATAAATATTAGCTAACAGAACTGTCATGTTAAAGTTCAAATATTACGATCAAATTCTTGTTCAGAGAAGTGATGGAAAGCGAACAGCAACCGGTCGGGCAATGAATAAATACATCAAAAAACTAAGTAATGATAAAGTAATGATGCTAATATCAAAGTGTCGAGAAACAACTTGTAACTAGTTGTACCACCCGGTTTCGTACCGCGTTAATTTAAGACCTTATTCATCATAAATTTGCACGTACTTGATAATTTTTGGTTGCGGAGTTATTTTAAAACTATGATATCTCCTAAAATATACATTGAAATCAAATGATGTTAAAGGTTATTTTGATCAAAATTAAATATTTGTGATGTGACGTAAATATTTGGATAAGGTTTATAGTTATAAAAACATCTTTTCAAATATAGAATAAGATTGCGATAAAAAGTTCTCGTGAATTAACCATAATCGACTAATGATGCATGCTGTCGCGGGCTTTTTTACAACTGTTAAAGGCTTCAGGAACAGTTTCTCTCGTTTCTGCAACAATTTTTAGTGGTCCGCTATTATTGATTGTATGGGGATTTTATACTATAGCCTTAACCTTGACAACCATTTGTATACCGCAACTTAATACCACATAAAAGGACTGCCCAATTATAATTTTACATTACAAGTAATAATATTTTTTACGTTCATATTCAACCAAACAAACATTTATCTTTATAATATTATTAGTAGCTTACTATAAACCGATAGTTAATTGATTAAAAAAATAGTAGTAATGATTATTAATTGTAATCCAAAGAATCTTAAATTAATGATTTCATACATTAATTTTAAGATGTGTCTTTTTGAATTTAACCTTATTAATAAAATGAACCAAAGCATTCGTTTAGTGTGAGTTGGATCTTTATAAGAAAATTAACGCTTCGCCTAGAGACGAACGCCTTTTCATTTTGGGAAATTGACACCTTTTCAACATAATACTGAAAATATATTATATAATATATTCATAAAACTGAAACGTTATAAAATGTTATTTCCTACGTTACATTAACGTAGGTCGTATTTTCTAATGTGTCTCTAATAACTGAAAGATTACGATGACTTGTTAGATTTTAGGCAATCTTTTTTACTTTATGGTAGAACTACAGACTAAATAGATACTAAAATTTATGTATATGAGGTCAATAAATGCGCAGTAGTTGTCTTCAGATTAAATTTCGTATTACAAGCGCAAACCAAACCCTTTGCGTTTTCACACCCAAAATCTGGCCGAGGTACATCACAAGATACGGGATACCAATAGTTTGTTAACGACTATTCTACAGTTTACTTAGATTTTTTATGTCTCGTAAGTATGATATTCGATATTGCTAATTTATTAGTGCGTGTGAAATTCTATAGCGTCGGTACAAAATATGGGCATGCTTGAATTAATCTTGCGGCCATGGTTATTTAACATATACACTTATCGATCAGTATTTTTTTAGAGCCAAAGCATAAGATAGGTTCCTTCAGAGTTTTTATCTAATTGAATAATTTCGTACAAACATCATATGTTTGGTTCCTATAGAATTAAGAAAAACTTTTATACGATAACAACAATCCGATTGACATCCTTCCGTGTAGGATACATAATGCATATGTTTTGAGGTTGGGGCTGTAAGCACTAGGCATCGGAACTAGCAACTATTGCTGGCTGTGCCGCGGGCGTGCACTAACTTGCTCAGAGATCAGGAACTTACGCGAGCGTAGCGCACACTTAATAATGCTAGGGTAAAGACATATTTACTTTAACACTGAATTTACAAGAGTGGCATTGTCCATTATTTGTTATGAGACACGCACAGTCACTCCACTGGCTCTGCGACCAAAAAAGTATCTTGGCCTCGGAAACGAGAAACTTCCTGCGCTCCTTTTCCAATGCCACCTACCGCCAATTGCTTACGCTATTTTTTTCTTCTCTGGCCAATTGTTAAGCTGTAATGGTAGAAAATACGGTGACATTAAATAAATAAAGCTTTGTATGGCACAAAAGTACCACCTAGTATTTTATCCAACATAATAGCTTACGCAAAGTTGAGAAAACACGCAAAGTAATGAATCTTACTACAATATTTCTGGATTAAAAGAAAATACTGTTTTATACTAGCCAATTATAATACAAGAATTAAGCAATTGTTCTGAACTGGAATGTGTAACAACCAAGACTGTTAGATTTTTGATGAAAAACAACATACCAAATATTCGTAGTAGAAAAGGTGTCAGTCTAGAATCGATATAATATATACCTAGATTGCGTAAGTAATACGTCATAGAAGTATATATTCCGTCTGATATTTTCCTGCATTGTTCAATGTTTGCTAAATAAATTCATTAATTCCTTTTAATTCGTAGGAATTTCTACATTGAAAAAACTTATGGAGTAAATAGGTACCGGTTAACAAAACAACATAACGACACAATGATGTACGGTCCTAAAAGATAACTATCACAAAATTAGTCTTTGAGTATGTGAAACGGATGCGATGTGATCGCTATTGTGTGAACACATGTCTTTTTGGTACGGTTATTATTCGGTAAATTCGGTTATTATTTTATGTCATAATTGCGATTAATTTCTAGGTATGGGCATCGTTCCTTCTCCAATGGACTGCTACTTGGTAAGCAGAAGTCTGAAAACGCTCGCTATACGCATGGAACAGCACAAGAAGTCATCTCTGATTGTAGCCAACTGGCTCGTTAAACATCCCAATATTATCGAAGTACTTCATCCGGGTAAGTAGCTGTTTTGTATGTTTGTTTTATACACCTCCGGAGTAGCGGATAGATCATTGTCGATGGTAACTACTAACTTAGCACTAACGAAAACGTTAAAATTAGCTGTTTATTTATTTTACCTTTACCACTTTTAACAGTTTATTTAAAACTATATATAAACTGATTATACTTAAGCTAAATGTTAAAAACATACAAATATATAGTTTATAGATAATAATAAAAAGATACCACCTCCAAAGACACCGACTCTGTATTAAATATGAAGATTATTATATATTATTCGAAACTAGCGGACCGGGCAGAATTTGTCCCTCTATATACGTACAAAACAAAAAAAAACATTTGTAAATCCCAACCACTCTTAAATCCATTTGAACACACAAAAAGCATCAAAATCGGACCAGCCTTTTAGGTAGGCCGGTTAGGAATAAACACACGCACAGAAGATTTATATATATAAAAACACAAACAACTCATCTTAAAAAAGGCTTGAGGATGAAATATAATTTTTCCTTAAGAAAGAAACTCGGGGTTTTCACTGATATTTTATATATTGTTGACCTAGTTATAAAATAATATGTAACGAATTTCTACTATTTAGTAGCCTACAATAAGATATGATTTCTGCCGTAGAACAAATTATGTATCCATTTCAGTTGCATACGCATATGAGGAAAGACTCCTAACCTTCATTTGTTTGTAAACGTTTACTCTGGAAACTGACATCTCATATTTTACAATAGTACGTTGTCTTAAATCATCTGAATTGAAATAAAGAACTATTACAGGACTTCCATCCCACCCTCAGTACGAGATTGCGAAGCGCCAAATGTCGGGCCATTCAGGAACATTCAGCTTTAGGCACAATGGTGACCTTAAGGAATCTCAGAAATTGTTGAGAGCTCTTAAGATGTTCATGGTAGCTGAGAGTTTGGGCGGATACGAAAGTCTCGCGGAGTTACCGTAAGTAAAGACTTCTTGACTCCTAAAATATATAATTTAATTAGTTTTAACGGAAAGTCTCATAGGCTTAGACATGTTTAATACGAACTAGCACATACTTTTGAAAATAGAGTTTGATCAACAAAATAATTTTTATCAGTTTTACTGGTTTGGACATACCTTAATATCTTAATTACGGATATAAAAACAACATTGTTTTATCTCAACGTTTGTGACGTAATGAAACACGTACGACACGGTAATGTTACGGATAAACCGTAAACGCTATTATCGTCATTATTCTAGTGTTATCACTATTTTACTACCTTCGTTACATAAAAGTAGATCGTATTTTATTTTAGATTTTATTTAAGACTTGACAGTGACCCATGTAATGGGTTACCTAATACTTTATACTGTGCACCAGTCTTGTTTTTTCGTTAAAACGTGATGAGCAATCTTAATCAATTATTAGTGACGGGGCGTCGCCAGTCGACTGTCAAAGAAGGCCAATAGAGATAGATGAAATCGGAAAAGTATAAGTTGTTTACAGCATGTGAACTTCAACGCGGTCTTGATTGTAATTAGATATATTAGGAAAAAATATTTTGTCTAATTAAATGTAAAGAAATAATAGAGGCGTACTACATTTCAAACTAAACCTTAAATGATTAATAATTGCAATGAAGTCCCTAAATTGAATTAAAAACATGCTTCTTAGTTGATACGATATTACGTCATTTCATAATAACAACGCATACTCACTGTCGTATAAAAGTAGTTATGTTATAACCATGACGCTGCAAAATAGAACTAAACCATTGATTTTTACATTAAATATTTCCGTCTGTTGGAATTGTCTTGTGTTGATGATTATCATTATATTATCTTTGTAATTCTTGTAAGTCAGTGAATTATTGCTTTATAGATTGTGGTGCGATTGGGTTGGAACCAAGATAATAATCGTATATGATGCTTTTAAAGGTCATCGTTCTTTACAGTATTCCCTCTATGCTTCTTTAACAATAACATACTATTTATTTTGATATTTCTTTTCTTCCTTATCTTGCATATAACTGAGATCAAATTTAGATCTATATAATGAAGTCTTGGGACCCTCGTAGACATTTCTGCGTCTGTTACACTATATTTAACTCAATAGACATCAGTGTGACAGTCGCTTCCAATTTAAAACCCGGAAGCTTACCACGTAATTAACTTTTACAATTTCAATATTCAGTCTTCGTAATTAAGCAAATGAATTCAAATAATTAAAACATTTCGATCAATGTACATTAAAAGAGCTGCATTACGATTCTTTATTGCCAGTCGTTAAATTATTGGGTCAGAAATTGAAATAGAACTCAACTCTCAGGAACTCCGATATACCTTCTAAACCACGTAGGCAATATGGTATGCAGTATTAACATTTATTCCTTTCGTAGTACTCTGATGACGCACGCATCAGTTCCTGCAGAACAGCGAGCAGCGTTGGGTATTACGCACAACCTTATCAGAATATCAGTGGGCTTAGAAGACGTCGAAGATCTCATTCAAGACTTAGACCAATCGTTCAAAGTCGCATTCGAATAAATTTTACAAAGTTTTATCATATTTTCATAGTAATTATATAATAGCAATATATAGTATATTCTTAGGTTTAAAAATAAAAAAAGTAGTTTTGCTTAAATGCTGTTATCTCAATTTTATATATTGTTGGTTGTTGTCTAATTGTATTATAAACGGGTGATAATAAAACAAGCTATAGTTAGATTTGTAATCAAGATAACTGATAAATATTGTCTTTGTTTGAATTAATTGCATTTACCTACGCTTTTATTGTGTAAATGATAAGCGAACAAGATCATGTAAGGTTAAAATATGTGCATTTTTATGAGTATTATTTAGAATGATTTTCTATTTTGTGTTTCACATATTCCCAATGATGTTCCTTCAATATTTTATTTTGTAATAATTTAAGTGGTACCAAGTATCAAGAAATAAATGATAAAAAGGTTATTTTGTTTTAATAAAATGTCCACTAAAATATAATTTTGATATGGTTATTACAAACAAAATTTTGCCATATTACTAAGAGACTAAAATTAGTTCAGTAAATAATAGAAATGTTATAGAAAGTATCTTTCCTTATCATTGGAAAGAAAAAAACAAACATTTTTTGTTTTTAAAAATAACTGTCATTTGTTTGAGCCGTGCCGGAATGTAGTCTTCCAAAAATGGATAAAGTTTAAGTTACTGCGGTAATATAATATCTTGAAAAACTTTGCTTCGGTGCTGGCAAATCAAGACTCAGGGGTTCATGCTCCACCATATTCTACAGTTGCGCGTTGGTATGCTGAGTTCAAGTGAGGAGGAACTTCAAAGTCTCACTTTAAAACGTTACTACTGCGAAAAATATAATTGCGTCATACTTATAAATTTTTAGTACAACCCTAGTATTAATAATTTCTATTTTTGGTATTGATATTTACATCTCTGAATAAATAGTAAAATCTACCTAATTATTGCTGAGTATTCTAGAAGATAAAGTTAATATTTTACGTTCAGATATTTCAATATAATTTCTGAATGGGAAATCCTCCATGAGCTTTTTCATTAGTCATAATATTTCGTAATCGGTGTAGTATATATTATGTATAGTCCTTCGACTATTTAGATTCCGTTTTAGTAATTTTAAATAATTTTTTATTACATCTATTACACTTAGGTGGTATCTGATAGACTTGTTTATCGCTATGGATTAAAGCTGATTTTATATTTTCTTAGTTTCAGCCACCAAAGAGATCGATCACGAATATTGTTACTGACTTACTGAATGTCAAAAAAATATCTGTGCCGACAAAAATTAGTAACTCGGGTTGGTGAGAAACATAATATCTGCCCTATTAAGGGTACGGGTTTTTGTGAACACGCTAAAATTAAACCAATATAAAAATGGGAAAAGTAACGAACTGTATGACAGAATGATTAAGGGCGGGTAAAAGAATTGGGAACGTTAAATTAAAAAAAAAATAGTTGTCAATACAGATATTTCAATTTTTTTTTCAAGACACAAATAAACACACATCAGGCTGTCAAGTTAGCACGTCATTTCAATACGTCTGGGTAAAATATCAGACTAACCTTAAAAAACTGAAAAGTTTTTAGTTCTGTTACCGTCGATAACAATACACTTTCTGTAAAAAATATTAATGAGTATAAATATAATCTCTAAATATTGCGTATATTTAGAGATATATTTAGTTGCAATTAAAGCATTAAATTAAAGGTTTATTGGCTCTTCCTTAAACTACCCTCTAAACTCCTCTATAACCAAAATTACACATCGTAGATTTGATTTCATCTAAGTATGTGATGTTTGAATTAAAAACAACAAATATGTATTGATCCTTCACTATAATTTCAATGTCTCTAATTAAAACACAATACAACATTCCTCGATACAAAACAAAACACCTCTAACTTTGATCTAATTTCGTTTTTAATCAATCATGGCCTGTGTTATGGAGACAAAAATTAATTGAGTTACGGCACATTTGTTTGGCCGAGAGCTGTTACTAGCGATTTTATTAAATATTGTATATTTCATGAGTTATTTCAATAAAAAGCATTTAGCGTTTACTTTTTTTACTTCCGCGAAAACTATATTGTCCGTCTCATCTCACTCGAATTTCGAGCATACTTTTGTATCAATAGTCAGTCTAGGAATCTACGCTTCTTAACGCCAGCCTTATTAACAATGGTTAAAAATAATAGACGAAAAAAACTCGTACTTATAATTTTTGCTAGCTTGTATAAGATAGCACACAGACACTGTCATTATTATAGAAATAATTTTTAGAATCGGTTTAGTAGTTATTGATATTAAATACATATATTTTTTTAATAGTTACAATCAAATTTAAAAAAATATTAGTTTTAAAGATTTTTTTTCCAATTGCCAGTTCTACTCTTCCGTTTTACGCCCTTGATTTGAGAACTGGCACTAAATGTAAAATTAGAAGCATTTAATGTATATGTATTTCTTTTTTGACGTTCATTAGTGTGTACATTGTGTTACCTATATTAATAAATGATTTTTTATTTAGACTTTGACTTTATTAGTAAGTATAGATAATGTTCGGCTCTTACAATTACAAATACCTAAATACACTTATGGTGGCCATTCACGGGCGATCCATATGGCTTTCGCGCCACTGCACGGGCTCGATACTCGACGTCGCGCCGAGCCAAATTCATGCCAATAGCCGCGTACTGACTGAGCGAGCAGCCTCGCGAGGCTGCCTCGCGAGGCAAATCCTCGGTCGGTCAAGACGTGCCTCGCCCGAGGCAAACGCACGCGCTGCCTCGCCCGAGCGTGCCGCGGCCCGAGCCGAACGTTGTCGGTTTTTGTCGATGTTCAAAGGCGCCTCCGGCCTCAGTACGTTTGCCGCGCTCACTCAAGACGGTAGTGTTTTGCCTCGCTTATTCGTTGCGTGTTAGTTGTGCGTCATGGATAAAGAACAGTGTCTTAAATTAATACGACTATATGGTGAATATAGACGACTTTGGGATGCGCAATGTCCTGATTACACAAATAGAGGACTAAGGGAAGATGCATGGAGAAAAATAAGCCAGGAAATGAACCTTCCAATAGCTGAATTAAAGAAAAAAATGGACTCTTTACTAGGGTCTTACAGGAGGGAAAAGTCGAGAGAAAAAAAAAGCCGAATCACAGGATCAGGTATTTATTATTTAATGTTTATGATTAGGGTTAACAACATTCATTTTATTATATTCAAAGTTACATCGGTTTTTATATTATTCTTATTATTATTATTATTATTTTTACATATTCGATGCCTGCTGCCTCACCAATGCCTTCTACCTCACCGATGCCTCCTACTTCACCGATGCCTCCTACTTCACCGATGCCTCCTGCCTCATCGATGCCTTCTACTTCACCGATGCCTGCTGCCTCACCAATGCCTCCTATCTCACCAATTTCGATGCCTCCCCCTCCTCCTTCTCCAGCTCCTCATCATTAAATATTTGTTTGTTTAATTTTCTTATATTATTTGTCCAATTTTCTAATCAGATTAATAAAAAAATAATAAAAATATGTAATTTTATTTTACCTTAACATAATCCTTTAACACCTCAATTATAGCATCACAGACTTCAGGAACTATAACCGATATCCTTTGTTTTGATATACGAAATAGATACTGTAGACTGGTATAAGAATCTCCTGTGGCCAAAAATCTCAACGTCACTAATAATCTTTCCCTAGCGGATATTGCTTCTCGAAAATTTGTGTCCTTCTTGCTTATTTTGGCGTTTATGAGAGAATACACATTGTCAAATTCGATTTTACTCATTCGAGTGAAAATTTTTTCTTCGTCATCGAAGCACAACTCTTCAAATAATCTGTTCCCAGCCTGTAATCTATTTTTGTATAAGAGTTTAATCCAAAAACGTTTAGTTTTCTGTTTTATTTTTTTTGCAAGCCTTAGAATTATTAAAAAGGCAGTGGTAGCGACAGCTTTCCGAATGTGCGGCCTCATGGTGGTCTCGGGCAAACTATACGGGCACGCGCGGTCTCTATTCGACTTCAAGTTAAACTGAGCGTCGATGCTCACGATGGCTCGGACTTGCCGCGCGAGGCAGCCTCGGATTAGAAAACTTACAGACCGAGGCTGCCTCGCGCGGCAAACGTTGCGAAGCAAACGTCCGAGGCTGCTTCGCGAGGCTGCTCGCTCAGTCAGTACGCGGCTAATAGAATTCACGAACGCGCCAGCGAGCCGTTCCATTTGATAATTTTGAGTGTAGGCGTCGATAGCACCGGACGTGTTCATAATGAACTTCGATTCAGAAGATGAGTTTTATTTATCTACCATAGCGATTTGTCTAGTTTTAAAAAAAATTAAGTGGTGTAAGGATTGGTTGCTGAAAAGATCGCAACTCACTCACATAAATTTAATGAAGGAGTTGACATTTTTTTTCTAAACTCATAAATAAATGTAATTACAAAGTCACGGTTTGAACTCATTGCGAAAACTATTTATATTAACAATGGGTCACGTGCTTACCATCCAATGGCTAAACGCAAACTAAAATCAAAATGGCGTGTTTGGCTCGCGAGTAACACCATTCACGAGCGAGCAAACCGTATGGCACGACGGCTCAGACCGACCAGACCGTTGGCTTTCCGCATTCACGAGCACGCCACCTGCGTATGCGCGCCGCGCCAAGTGGACTCGGCGCGATGGACTTTCGCGCAGTTGGAATTCCATCGCGCCGAGCCAATCCATTTTGACCGACAGTGTTTTCACATTCATGGACGAATTTTGGATCGACAGCGTGCCAAATGTATCGATGGATCGCCCGTGAATGGCCGCCATTAGACCCAGGTGAGTAGGTTTTCATACGCAGTGCTAATCTTTCAAATTGGTTAATCTGACACTGAACCACATATTAATATTTGATCTAATTGTATTGTATATTCAAAATCACCGTTAACGAGCTTTATCATGTTTTCATAGTTACCTACGTATGTTTCGGAAGATGGGTTTTGATTATTTAATTAATTT